TGCAGTCCGCCTTCTGATCAAATGAGATAAAACACTCATGCAGCCAGGGCTGTCCCAGTGGGGTTCATTTGGTTTCCACAGGCACATCTAATGTGGTTAAAGAGTGGAAGTCATTAAATAGAAAAAGTGCACCAAGGTAACGACCTTCATTATTGTGCCCAAAGCAAAGACAGATGTTATCAGTTCACTCAGGATGGGGCCTTACCCCAAACCTGGCGATTAGAGCCCTGGAGGACATCTGTGACTCAGCATACCCTCTCACAGACATGTCCTTGATGTCTGGGTTTCCTTCCATGTGTCACCCAGGAGGGCAAACAAGACTCAGCCGCAGCTTTCCACCTCTTTCATCACGGCACGCTAATCTCCTTAACTGAAACTCTGCGGCCCACCCGAAAATCTATTTTTTGCCAATCTGACAAAAAAAAAGTTAGTATAATTTTGTTTCATTCACACCAGGCGGCTATTGTTGTATTGCCTATTGTTGTTTTCTTTTTAAATTTGACAATCTGAGGGGAAGGAGGTCAGTGCCCCTGACTAAGTAGTCAGGGACCGCGTGCTTTACCAACTGCTGCAGCCAGCAGCTGACGTCGCTGACCTAGAGGGGGAAGCCACACTGCAGAGCCCGGGCTGTGCCATTCCATTTACATCAAGTTCAAGAACAGGCAAAACTTATTTATGGTAACAGAATAATGATTAATCTTTGGAAGAGCTACAAGGGAGCGTTCTGGAGTGATGCAAATGTTCTCTCTCCTGCACTAGCTGGTGTTTACAGATGAAACATTCATCGAACTAAGTGCTAAGACTTGTGCATTTTGCTGTATGTATAGTAGGCCTCGGAAATGGGCTGTATTCACTCCTCTCACTAGAAATCACTAACCAGACAGTACATGATTCCACCTACTGGGGTCAGACAAACCAGGAGTCACCTTTACATACACTGAAATCACTTAATCGCTCTAAACTCCAACTTCCACATTCACACAAAAAAATGCTAGTCACTACGCCCACCTTCAGGCATTCCTACCTATATGCCCCTTAGCCCTAGACTCAAAAAGCTCTATTTATATTTATAAATTCATGTATACATATATATGTGTATATATACATATATACATATATACATATATATACAGACATACACACACACACATATATATAAAACCTTGTGGCCCATCAGTACTGGTGACAGAATCAACAGCATCCAACAACTGGTCCACAGTTCCTAAAGGAAGGAAGAACTTAATCCTCAAACAGTCCTGGAGGTGAGTGGGGAGGGGCTCAAGGAGGTGTACACTCAGAAATGCAGTCTTGGAAGTGGATCCTGCAGAAGTTTCTGAGACAAAAAAAAGCAAGCAGTGGGGAGCAAGGGGAACCCGGCCGCCCTGGAAGCCTGTGTGCCTAGCACAGCCGCGGTATTGGGCGGGGCAGGCTGCACAGAGCAAAACTCCAGGGCTGCAGTTCGCATGAACAGTGCCCCGGGCGGCTGTGCTGGGCAGGGTCGCCGAGGGAGGCGCCATCAGAAGGCTGAGGTCTCTTGGCTGAATGTCTCACCTTCTCCAGAAGAAAAACCTCTCAGGCCAGAATCTCCCCTTGGCTTGCACCCGCCCTTCACCTGGTGAGTTCTCAAAAGGGCAAAACTTATCACCAAGCGGGACTTGGTTCCTTCCCTATCTGAGTGTCCTGTTTCATTCACCTCCCCCGGGGAGCGTGCCAGGAAAACTGAAAGGCCTTGGTGGCCCCTGACACCACAGCGGGCGAAGGTGTGAACCCCTGTGACTGTACTTGGGGGAGAGGGACCCTTGCGCCGAGGTATCTGCGCAGGGCCCCCTCCCCCCCCAATACCCTGCCCCATGCTATCTGCTGTTGGGAGTAATATTGTGTCACCATTCACACTGAGGAACCTCTAACTGTGGCTGACTTTGTAGGACAACCATGATACAAATTTTCAGTACATCGATGAAGTCCAAACAAGTAAGGAAATGGTGCCATAAACAAAGAGAGAACTTGAGGCCAGAGGAATCAGTAAAAGCTATAGATCACTGCAGGTCAGGAGAATGTCAGACCCAAATGTAGACCTCAGAGGCTGGAGGGTGAAATTCCAAAACTCGATGGCAAAGTAAACCTGGGTAAATACGGACTTGAATTCCTAAATAGTGCATCGGCACCAGTGTGTGACTTGTGATAAGTGCAACAAGAGAGAAAATTGGGTTTGAGGTATATACAGAAACTCTCTATGGTATTCTGGCCACTTTTCTGTAAAGCTGAAACTTCTAAAGTGAGAAGTTTACTAAAAAAAAATTAACTTTTGAAGAAGTAAAAAATACAAGTGTAAAGCTATAAAGTCATAGCAATACTGACTGTAGGTCTCTTAAATCAAAACCATTGTGGGTGGATATTGGGCGTTGTTATTTCTTTTTAGGTGAAAAGACATTTTATTTTTGTTTTACTATAGAACATATTAGGGAATACACCTGATTGCAGGCACAGTAATTTTTTTAATTGCCGAGAAGGAGAGAGGCGGAGACAGACAGAAGCACAGGACACAGAGAAGGAGGGACGTCGTAGGTGTTGGGGACTACATTGTATCCCCCTCCCCCCAAATTGAAGCTCTAACCTTCGGTGTGACTATTTTGGGCAGGCAGGGCTTGTAGAAAGGCAGTTAAAATTAAATGAGGTCATAAGCTAATCATTTTGCTCACGAAGTTAGAAAAAGAACAACGAACATCTAAAAAGTGGAAAGAAGGAAAATAAAAAATAAGAACCAAATTAGGTGCAATTGCAAACAAAGGCACACTGTAGAGAGAGGACTGTTAATAAAAATGACAACAGAATTGTGGCTGACAGACAAGAAAACTATGAAAAGAATGCAGAATCCAATCAGGCAGAAAAAAAAAAAGATAAGATATATTGAAGCCAATCAAGCGGACAAGGAAATTAGGCATATTCCAGCTAGGAGTGCAGAATTTCATTTTCCTAAATCAGGTGATTAAAGAGTGGGAAGAGGTTACAATTAAAATCGGTGCCCCGGGAACAAGTGAGGTGCTTGTTTACACATCTCAGCCCGCCTGAAAGGATTCGGTTGGGCCTGTCGGTGGCTGCCGCTCGCCGGGCAGGGACCGGGCTCAGTGCTAAGGAAGAGTGAGCATGCGCCTGTCTCTGACTGACGTAAAATTGGCCAAAACAGAAGTTCTGAGGACTCCAGAGAGCTCTCATTTTCATGGGCTTTTGCTATTGATAATGAATGCATTAGAATTTATAACTAGAATTCAAAAATATTTTAGTCATTTAAAAATACCAAGAATTAATCCAACACATTGTTCACAGACACACACACACACACACACACACACACACACCCCAAAACGAGAATGATCCAAATACTCACAAATACCGGAAAGCCCAAGTGCGCTGTGGTTTATTATGATAGAATACAATATACCTTATTTTTTAAATATTATTATTTATTTATTTTAGAGAGAGGGAGAAAGGAGGAAGAAAGACAAGGAGAGAAACATCAATCAGTTGCCTCTTGCACACTCCCAACAGGGGACCCACCCACAACCCAGGCTTGTGCCCTGACTGCGAGTCAAATCCGCACCCTTTAGTTCACAGGCTGGCGCTCAATCCACTAAACCACAGCTGCCAGGGCCAAAGAAGATTATTATTTGACTAAATCTATAGATAACAAGGTGTTAACAACACATTCAGGGTTAAAAAATAACCTTTTGAATGAAAAAGGCAAGAAGCAAAGAAATAGGAAGTACAGTACATGTCTGTAGATAAAGGCAGGGGAAACTAGTTGGTAACAAATAATCGAACGCCTGGATCAATCTGGACCTGTTTCCGTAGGCAGTGCGAGCTCCTAACTGAATGGATGAGTCATCAAACGTTTGTGAGCAGGAAACCCACACTTCTGCTCTGCAAATCAGCCCAGCAGCCTCTTAACCTGCGGTCCGCACGCAGAATCCAGGGGGTTGGTACCCTCGCGTGCGGGGAACAATGGAATATCCCCCTTATGAGTGGAGTCAGCAAAGCCCAGTGGTATTGGTCAGACCTGTGCCCGTCACCGCGTGTCCTCCCAGGTATTTCCTATCGCCTGCTAGTTATGGGAAATGTCTTTAAATACCCTTAGCACTCATCACAGCATTGCATTTGCCGCTAGAGCTCACTGCTTAGTGACAATAAAGAAGCGCATAGGTGTTACCTCACAAATTTGATTTTTAAGACCTTTTGAAAATGCACGCACACCTGTGCGCATGCGTACACACCTGCCCCGGCTTGGAGCTCACGTCTCTGAGCTCAGAGGCTCCCAGGCCCAGCTCTCCAGGGAGGGTGCGCAGGCCCAGGACACAGCAGGGGCCTCAGCGCCTTCCTCCAGACAAGCAGGAGCCACGAAGAGGAGCGGTCCAACAGAAGCCAGGGTAGGCCTCTTGCAGGGACTATTGCAGGGATCCCTGGGGTCACCGGGGTAGGCGGTGAACAGACTTGAATCTCTGCAGCCCCTCACGCTACTCTTTCGTCACTTTACCTGTTTGGCCTCTTTCAGGCAATGCATGTCCCAATTTTTGGCTTCATGCCACCTATCTAAAATCGGAAAGGGGACAGCTTTGCTCAATAGCCAGTGAGCCTGTCCCCCAGCCCAGCCAGGGCAGGTCTGCTAAAATACAGGGTGGGCAAACGTAAGTTTACAGCTGGGGGTATGTGAAACTCAGAGTTTATTCTTGTATTCTTATTCATTAATTATTGTACTGTTTGGTTGCATTGTTTATCCTTACCGTTGTTATTACTTCGAATCCTGACTTAGGATTTGTCGTTTAGATAATGATGGCTGGTAATTGAAGCTACTTCTGCCCCCCCTGTATGTGAGAAGGAAAGTCTCTGCACTAATTTGCGCTTTTGGCCCAGGTGACCCAAGGGCCAGTCTGATCCCAGGCCCCACCCTCAACTTGACAAGTGTGGACCGGTCTGCAGTCCTTGGAAAGTTGGGACACAGGGCTCACCTGCGGGCTCCTATGGAGCGTCCTGTCTCTGTTCCTCCCTGCCTCCACATCCTCCTCCGTTTAAGCTTTGGGTGTAGGTGGAGGAAACTGGAAGAGAAATAAAAGCGTTCAGGCCCTGACCGGAGGAAAGAGAGGGGTTGGCAGGCAGGGGACACCTCCCCCACTCCCCCAGTATAGGCCCCAGCGGGATCAGGGCTGGAGGGCCTGAGGCCTCTCAAGCCCCTCACCTTTCTATTTCGGGCTCACGTGGTAGTGGAATGAAGCACGAGAACGAACGTGAAGAGGTACTCAGCCTTGACCCGGCCAAGGGGGCGGTCCCGGGCGCCGCAGCCGCTCCGCCCAGCCTCCCCGGCGCCTCCGCCGTAGCCTCCTGCACGCTGTCCGCCGGCTGCAACTGCGGCAGCTCCGGTCGCCTTCCTCGCGTCGTCCGCGCACAGGTGAGGACGGGGAATCCCGCGTCCGGTCCGCTGAAGAAGGAACGGGAAGCTTCGTGAGGTCGAGAGCTGGTAGGGAAGGAAATGGAATCAGATTCCGCAGGGGGCCGGAAGGGGGAACCGAGGGACGCGAACCCCAAATCTTTGGCGGCGAGGAGGTGGTCCCTGCGGTGCCGGGAGAGCTGGACGCGTCTTTCCAGAGCTCCCCCGCGGGGTCTGGAGATGCGCTGAGCGCTTAGATGCTTGTGGCTGCGTGGGGACCGGGGCCTCCCGAATGCTGGGGCGCTGGCTCCCAGGACCCCAAATCCGCTCGTAATTGTTTCCAGCCAGGAGCTAAAGATACCCCTCTGGGTCTTGAAAGGGCGGCCCCAGGCTCGCGGGGCCACGACCACAAGCAGAAACCTGCCTTGCTTGTGTGCTTTGGAGAAATCCCTGCCGGAGCCCTGTGCGTGTGTGTCAGTAAGGACTGGAAGATCTCTCCTGGCCAGGGTGCTGCGGACAGGTGGAAAATTCTGTAGGAAAACCTAGACTGATTTGTGAATATTTATTTTTCAATTTAAAATGTCAGCAAAGCCTTTTCTCTCCTTTTTCTTGCATTTGGGGAGGTGACTCTGGAATTTAAGCCCCAGTTTTGGGCCCTTCTCCGAAGTTCTCAGCTCACCTCCCATCCCCACCCCACACACACACCGCCGCTGTGAGGTTTTGATCTGGAGGGAGTGGGTTTGTGTTTTGACAGTGTGCAAGGCTTTTGAACTTTATACATCTGGGGCCTGGACGCATCGTCATTCCGTGTTCTCTCAGCCGCAGCTGGGTGAAGAGATGTTCAGTGTCCTGACCCGCCAGCCTTGTGAGCAAGCAGGTAAGCATGTATCTCAGCGGGCAGCTGGCGTGATTTTCTCAAATCCCAGGAGAATCCCAGCTTCAGCCCGCGGTTTCTCACCCCATCCCCTACAAATGACGGCTGAACCTCTTTAGTGTGATACTCAGTTGCTCACGGGCTTTCTCACAGGCATTCCTCATATGAAAGTAATGCTTTTCATCAAAGCAACAGCAAACGAGGACTAACATGCATGTTTCGATTAAATGGTTTTTTTCCGGTTTGCATAATCCATTAATTTGGCCCTTGTGGTTTCCCTTACCCAGCAGTGGGTAAGGTTGGCTTTAGAATAGTGTTGATGTTGTCATGAACTTTAAAGCACCTGGATCTTCCCTCTATTTCCATTCAAGCATTGTTGCTGGCACAGCGCCTGCAGCCTCTCCGCGGCCCCCACCGTGGGTCAGCATTGTTCCTGCCTTGGCCCTGGTGCAGAATTCACACACACACACACACACTCACACACACACTCTCTCTCTCTCTCTCTCTCTCTCCCCCTCTCTCTCCCTCTCTCTCCCGCCCCCTTCCCTCCCTCTGCCTCTGGAGCACTGTTTGCGGTTGCTCCTGGGAAAACCCAGGAGGCTCTCCACTCTGAGGTAGGTGCTTTGTAATTACAGTGTTTGTCCGCCCTAATGATATCACGCTCCAGGCCCTGTTCCCTGACTGGGTGAGACCTGGGCTAGTCCATATTGCTTTGTGATAGACTTTTCGGCTGGAGCAAGGGTTTGCTTAAGTTAAGCATACCATTTCCTTTTTCTTTCTTTTTTTTTTTACCTAAAAACTGCTGAAGCTCAGAGGATTTGGGAGGCCAGCGGGAGGCTGTGGTCAGGGGCCTGCTTACATATCAAGCTGCATCCCTCCTATGGACAGATGCTGTTTTTTCTTTTTTTTAGATTTTTATTTATTTACTTTTAGAGAGAGGGGAAGGGAGAAGGAAAGGAACATCGATCAGTTGCCTCTTGCACGCCCACGACCTAGGCATGTACCCATGCTGGTACATGCCTCTTGCACGAACCAGTGACCTTCGGCTTGCAGGGCGATGTCCAATCCATGGGGCCACAGCGGTCAGGGCTGGGCAGATGTTCTTTAGTTTTGCCCCTCAATAGGGCCTTTTGCCTTCCAAAAGGATATTATTTTGGGATAGTGGGGGCAATTTATACCAATGTTTTATCTTTTTTTTTTAAGGGAGGTTGTGCCTAAGGAGCTGATTTATGTTGGTTTCCAGGTTTTCCTAAAACACTTTGGAATTTTAACATATATATGGTAACATCACACATGCAGACTCTTGTTACGCTCCTCCCAAAGGACAAGCTCAACCTGGCGGATTAAGTCTCTGCTGTGTCTTGTTAGGGGAAAAAAAGTCCCTTAAACTGACACTGCCGTGTGGGTTCTTTAACAGCTGATACTGGCATTTGCCTCTGTGGATAAACTGGTTCCTGTGCTTTTCTCCCGAATCACAGAAAAGCGATCCAGGACCCCTGTAGAGACTCTTTAAGGTCAACTCCATGGCGGGTGGCCCGGCTTTCGGTTGCTACTACAAAGGAGTCGTCAGCGATTCACTTTGTGTCATTTTACACAGTCGGGGCTCCTGTGCAGTCAGTCCCCAGAGCTGGGAGTGCCAGTCAGATGGTGTAACCGCCGGCAGTTACCGTCAGTGAGTGCTGGCACGTGGCCTTCCATGGGTGCCGCGTCAGTTTCCGCTCCCAGCAGCAAGGCAGACCACCTCTGACGGCAGGGAGTGTCCTTGGCAGCATCTGCACAGCAGGGGCGTCAGATGGGGCGGAAAGAAATTTTCGTTAGCCCACACGGGTTTGTGAAGGCCCAAGCGAATATCTGCTCGTAATCATCCAGTTGAGCAATATTCTATTAAGTGGAATAAAGAGACATAGTTTCTTATGATCAAGAGGTATTGTTGCAAAATGTAATATGTACAGACAGGATCTATTATTATATAATACATGTAGAATTATATCATTATCTTTATTCAGAATCCATATACTTAAGAGTATTCATGTGCTTTCATTTATTTATTTATTATTTAGCTTTTTTTTTTTTTTAAGATTTTATTTACTTTTAGAGAGAAGGAAGGGAGGGAGAAAGAGAGGGAGAGAAACATCAATGTGTGGTTGCCTCTCACGTGGCCCCTACGGAGGACCTGACCTGTAACCCAGGCATGTGCCCTGATGGGAATTGAACCGGCGACCCCTTTGGTTCACAGGCCAGCACTCAATCCACTGAGTCACACCAGCCAGGGCTGTTATTTAGCTTTTAAATTGGTGACTATAACTTACATGTTGTGATTAATATGCAAATGCCGGAGATTACAGGACCCCTTTGGGATGGGACGTGCGTCCTGGAGTCCAGTTAGTCTTGATTTCTGGAGGTGTAGGTGACCTGGGGCCTTCACTGCAGACTCGGGACAGGTGCCTGAGGGCAAGTTCTTACTGGGAATCAGCCCTTGAGAAATGTACACATGTTATCATTCGATCTACGGGAAGTCATCATGCAGTGAGTCAAGGCTTATGTCTGAGGTAGAGTACCAATTTCTCTTTATTTATCTGAGATTATTTTTAAAGCTTCTATTTTTTCATTTTTAGAGAAGGGAAGGGAAAAAGAAAGAGGGGAGAAAGGCAAATGTGCAGTTGCCTCTTGCACGCCCCCTACTGGTGACCTGGCTGGAAAGAAACCCATGCCCTGACTGGGACTCAAACTGGTGACTGATTCGCAGGCTCACGCTCAATCCACTGAGCTGCACTAGCCAGAGCCTGAAATAAATGATTACTTCATTTAAAAATATTAAATGAAATAATACCTTCTTTGATAGAAAACCTGTATTTTTGTAATCTCCATGGAAACAAATGTTGTAAATTATCTCAGGGACAACCAGTAAATGCAAATAACATACTTAGAGAAATACCAGAAAACTAAATCATGCACACCTGAAAACTAATATAATACTGTATAAGACTAATATATATAAATATATTTTAAATTAATACATGGAAAATACATATAAAACTAATATAAATAAAGTAATATGATACTATATGAAACTACCAGAAAATGGTATAAAACTAATAGATGTAAACATATATAAAACTAACATGTTAAAAATATAAAGAGCTAAACAATGTAAAACTAATATAATATATGAAACTAAATACCTAAAAGCTGAAACTGTGCAAACACAGTGTAGTCTGCTCTTTGGAGGAAAAATAAGTGGGCATTAGAGCCCAATGTCTTCTGCACCCTAGAAGCGTGGGTCTCACAATGCCAGAGGCGGGACTTTGCACCAAGGGATTCTGCATCCAGCCCCTGGACCCTACAAAGGAGGTGCGTGTCTTGTTCCCACTTCCCCCTCATGAGCCTTCTGGGTCTCCTTCCCATTTTAGGCCTCAGGGCTCTCTCCCGAACTCCAGCCGTCGTCGCCTTGGTGGTCTTGCTTTTGAGCATCGTGGTCCTGGTGACCGTCACACTCATCCAGACTCACCACCAAGAGGTTCTCCTTCCAGGACTGAAGGTTAGTGCGAAGGGACTGGCGTCGGAGGGGAGAGATGGGCTATGGCATCGACTGTTCTAAAGCCATGAGTCAGGAGAGAAGGACATCGTTTTCCCCACCTGCAGCTGGGGGTCCTGGCCGGTGACAGGAGGGCACGCTCCCCTTTGCACAGAATGGAGGGTGGGGGGATGGAAGCAGATGCAGGAGAGTTTGTTGAATTGGGAGAGGAAAGTACCCCACAAGTTGGGGGGAAGGCTAGTAGCACTTAGATCCCAGGAACTGGGGCCCCTGCCCTGAGCCCCGTATTTCAGAAGGACCAGCTCTAGCTGCACTGCAGGTTTATGTCCCTTTGTGGGATGTAAAGAGAACTTGCCCATTCAAGCCAAAGCTATGCTTCTCCTCCCAGAATATGCTATGCTGCCTGGGACTCCAGAGTCTCTATCACTGGCGTGATGGGAGGCAAAGGGTCAGCTGCCTGCAGGGAGGGTGGACAGAGCATGGACATGGGGGCCGAGCTGTCCTGCCGTCTGCAGTCCGCATACAGGTGCATGAGGCTCTCTACCTCATGGAACTGCTGGGTGGGAAGAGCACAGGTGGGTGGAGAGGGCAGGGCAAAGTTGTAAAGTCTGTAAAGAGTTCCCTCAGGCCCTACAAGTGAGGCTGGTCAAGGCCATTGCCAGCTGCTGCCTTGCACTCCTTCTGGGAGGTAACAGGGAAATCCTCTGTTCCTACTGGAGGAACCGGAAGAGGAACTCGAGTGGAGAAAAGCGGATCCCGAGGCAGGTGGAGGGTGTGGTTGAAGGAGGGGCCTGCCGGTGTGTGATGCTGCTGTCTCAGGTGGATTCCCCTAACTAAGATGTGAGTGCAAGTAGGTCATCTGAGGGTGGCCCAGGCAGCACAGGCAGGGGATGGGGAGGGGAGGCAGGAGGGAGGGCAGCCGCTAGAGGGCCTGCTACCCAGCTGGTTACCCCTGTGGGCACCTCAGTCCTGCTGGGGATGCCGGGAAGTTGTGCAGAGCTCGATTCAGGGCCGCCCTCTGCCAAGTGGCCTAGAAACACCTGCCTCCCAGCTGTCCTGCTGGAGGGTGTGTCTACACACCAACTGCCACCGGTCCTCAGGTGAGAGGTGCTCCCTGGGGATCATTAACTCTGGTATTCTGACATACAATGTCCTTGGGTGGGCTCAGGCCTTCAGGCAGGTGGACAGTGCGTGGCTGGACATTACATGGTAAGGCCCGAAGGACAGTGGGCGGGGAGCCCTCAGCAACTGTTCCATGTAGACAGAATTATCACCACCCCTCTTGGGGCAGAGGAAGAAATAGAAGGACAGAAGGGCCAGTGGCTTCCCACGGTCACACAGGTAGAGCAGAGCGGGACTCATAGAAGGAAGAAAGGAGCAGAGTGTCGGCCTCAAGTAAGCGCTGGGAAGGACAAGACGACGCACCCTCACCGAGTGGTACCCAGTCAAAGATGGGCTTTGGCATCTCTGCGGGGTCGTGCTGGCAGGCCCCGGTCACGGCTGCAGGGGACAGGGCATTGTCTAACAGTGGGACATGGGCCCCCAGGGCCCTTCCAAGTCACTGGGTGGATTCCTGTGGGAAAGGACAGATGTCACCCTGCCTGGTGTGGCTCAGTGGGTTGGGTGTCGTCTCTCCAACCGAAAGTTCACTGGTTCAGTTTCTGGTCAAGGCGCATGCCTGGGTTGCAGGCCGGGTCCCCAGTTGGGGCACTTTGAGAGGCAACCCATTGACATTTCTCTTGCACATCCATGTTTCTCTCCCTCTCTTTCTCCCTCCCTCCCCTCTCTTTACAATAAAATTAAAAAGAAAGAAAGAAAAAAGCAGACAGTCCGGGCCAGCTGAACCAGGGGAAGAAGGACAGCCTTGGGAAGGACGGCTGCCCATGCGGCCCTCCTTGGGGTGCGAGAGACCCCTTTCCTGGTGCGGCGTCTGCTGGGGCAGGCATGGCGCCGGTGGGGGTGCGGCTGAGTGGCTGCGAGGGCTTTTCCACGGTCTTGTTTGTGTTTTCATACCTCAAGCCCTGTTTTCCTTTGTGTGTGCCCGACAGTTGGTTATGAGGGGCCAGCTCCCCTCTGGGGGACCCTGGGGTGTTCCCCAAGACCCTCATGAAAGGTCATGGTATCTTGCAGTTAAATCCAACCAGGCCTTGCCTACCCTTGGTTTATCTGTGTTTAAGAGCAAATCAATAAAACTAGGGTCCAAATGTCCCCTTGTCATTGTCCCTGGTCTGATCTGCTCTATGGGCCGGAAGCGTGAGCATGATGACATTCTTTTCCTTCTCGCCGAGGCCCCCACTTGCTTTATTATCATGAAGTCCAGCATCTTCCTCCTCCTGAGGCTTCACTGTCCCTACCTCCAGCCCGCAACTGTGCGGAGGCCGTGCAGTTTCTCCGTCCGGTATGACCAAGACCGAGCTGCGCTGCCCATGCAGCCGCAGGCTGTGCCTGTTGAAGAGGGAGGGGCCTGCATAGTCACAGGGCTTCCAGGGCCCAGCTTCTCTGCGGTGACCTGTGCAGGTCCCCACATTGTTCCCCACATTTGTTCCCCACATTGGGTCACTCTCCCGTGCTTGGCCATCACTCTCCAGAGTGTGGACACTGGGCCCAGCTGTGTTGAAGCTGTTCTCTTCTAAGCCTTGTCAAGTGGGGCCATCACTGGGGTCTCTGATGCCTGTGGCCCACTCAGCTTGCCTGCAGCCCCTGCAGGTCTGCCTCGCAGAGAGCGAGAGTTGGGTAATCTATTGCTTCCTCTCCAGAAAGCCCTGGCTCCTTGCTCAGCTTGGACCGCCTTCTCTCCAGCCAGGTCTGCACACCACTCAACTACGAGCTTTGCTTTCGAAGGGCTTTTTGTCTGCATGAAGTCAGTCTGCTGGGATATCCCTGGCACCCTATTCACTAGACAGTCACCCTGTTAGACTTGGTTTCCTTGGAACTGGATGAGAGCATGGGAGTCATGAGTATCCGTTCGGGACTCTGTTAGACCCAGGCTTGACCCCAACTCTGTGAGAGCCTCAGTTTCCCCACCTATCAGCCAGGGACGATGATGATAGCTGCACTGTCAATGCACTGAGACCTAAGCATTTGTGCCGTGCCTGGTACATTATAAGTATTTGATAAACTATTCTATTCTATTCTATTCTATTCTATTCTATTCTATTCTATTCTATTCTATTCTAGTACAAGTGATGATGGTGATGATGATAGTAATAAACAAATCTAAGAAAGCCGATCTTAGGACCTTTTGCTTTTGCCAGGAGCTCGTGCAGTCCTTATGTTTTGGACCATGGGGTCCACAAGGAAGACCTTTGGGTCTTCCATTCACTCTGGGTTAAGCCACTGAGCACGCCTTCAGTCCCACATTCCAGCGCTGTTTCTTTCTGACACTGCGTTAGACAGAGGGTTACTTACTGCATCTCATCCCAGCATCAGACGCTGCCCGTGTCTGACTCTCCCTTCCCCCTTCTGTTCAGTATGGAATCGTGCTCGACGCCGGGTCTTCCAGAACCACCGTCTATGTGTATCAGTGGCCAGCGGAGAAGGAGAATAATACCGGAGTGGTCAGCCAGACCTACAAATGCAGCGTGAAAGGTAAGGCCCAGAAGGAAGCGAGGCAGAGTCCTGTGTCCTTCGGAGGCCTGGGGTGGTCAGTCCGGAGAAGCCGCCTGGGCTGGGTGTCGGGGAAAATATGAGATCTTATGCTAGTGCTGCTACAGGCAGTAACAGTGACCTTGGGAGAGTCACTGCCCTTCTCTGGGCCAGTTTTCTCACCTGTAACACATGGAGGTTTGGAGGGCATGTCACGAACTGTGAATGGGCTGAGATTTTACCCTGCCCTTCTTTCATGGATGCTGGTGGAGACACAAGATCCCTGGGTCAGGAAGAAAGGACAGCCCCGGCTGGTGTGGCCCAGCAGGCTGAGCATCATCCCATAGACCAAAAGGTCACCTGTTTGATTCCTGGTCAGGGCACATGTCTGGCTTGCGGGCCAGGCCCTCATTTGGGTGCATGTGAGAGGCAACCAACTGGTGTTTCTCTTGCATGTCAATGTTTCTCTCCCTCTTTTTCTCCTTCCCTTTTCTCTAAAAATAAATAAGTAAAATCTTTTTAAAAAATAAAGAAAGGACAGTTTATTATTCACAGCAACAGCAGTAGCCAGAGTTTCAGCTAGTTTTCCCTCGCTGGTTCCCCGGGGATGATGTAAGGAGGGCCCGGCAGGACCTGCCCACACGGTGGGTGGGTCGTGTTGCAGAAGAGAAACCCGAGACTAGACAGCCTGAAACTTTCATAAAGTGCTAGCCTTTCGCTCTGGGGTGCAGCCTTTCTCTGTCTTCTGAGCCTGTTTGCAGTGCAAACATCCTCAGAAAAAAACAATGCAGAACAAAGTCAGTCAGTGCCTGTTCCCATAAAACAAGCAGAAACATGAGAGACTCACCACAGATTGTCTTCTCGCAGGTGGATGTGGGTGGGAGAGGGGTGGGTGGAGGGAGATGGACAACTCGGCAACAAATAGGAGCCGCTGTGTTCCGGGAGAACTTTCCTAACTTTCCTTATGGACCCTGAAACTTGGACATGATTCTCACAAGTCACAAGGTACTCTTTATTCTTCCGTTAATTTCTCTGCCCACCGTTTTAAAATGTAGACACTATCGTAGCTCACAGGCTGTTCAAATAAAGATGATGAACTTGATTCGACCCATGACCTGCCAAGTCCTGAAACAGAACATAGTCAACATCTTCAATGACCCTCCACGCAACTCCCTGCCTCCCGACAACGCATCCTGGACTTTACATTGGCTGTTTCCTTGTTCTTCTTTATAGTTTTGTTCTTGTGTATTTAGTTTTTTCTGGTTTTGAAAATGAAGTTGAACTTGTACTCACTTAAACAGGAATCAAACAGTTATTGTTCTGTAACTTGCTTTGTTCACCCACATGGGGTTTTAAGATTCATCTGTGTTGGTATGAGTAGCAGCAGCTCATTCATTTTCCCGTTAATGGACACTTGTACTTTCCTGGTTAATAAGGTTGAGTATCTTTCTGTATATTTATGACCATTTCTGTTTTCTGCGAAATGACTGTTCATGTCTTTTGCTCATTTTTCTGCTGAGTTGCTTGACTTTTTCTTATTGATTCATTGAAATTCTTTATACATGTTCTGAGTATGAATGCTTTTCTGGCATTGTTATTCTGTCGTTGCTAATATCATCTCACAGATCACTGTAGTCTCTTCACAATGCCTTTTGATGACTAGAAATTCTGCTTTCTTATGTAGGTGCCCTTTTCAACCTTCTCCTTTTCGGTTTTCTCTTTTGTATATTTCATTTAAGAAATTCTTCCCTGTCCTGTGGTCATGAAGATATTCTTCTATCAGAAATTTTATCATGTTGCTGTTAGTTCCATGGTCAAGCCCAGTGAATGAGTGTGTGTCTGTGTGAGCCTTTTCCAAAACCAGTCACTTCAGAGCCCTCTGATCCTTGAGGTGCCCTGTATGGGTTACAGATATATTCACAGGACGACAGGTTAGAGACTCCACACTAGTCCTCCTGCTGCTCAGTATCTCCTTCCTGCCTGTCAATGAGCGGCTCAGATAGTCCAGTCTCTCGGGGGTCATGGCATTGAACCCGTTGAGAGGCAGACTTGGCCTTTCCCCACAGTCTTCCTTTGAAGACCAGGGTGAAGTCTGGTCATCTCCCCTCCTGCGGAGGGCATCCTGGCGCTCGTCTGCCCTGATGCACAGGTGTTCCAGGCTGGGATTTCTAGAAGCAGGCATTGAGTCAGAGCTAGGGATGTGAGGTAGGTAGTTACTAAAGGCTCACACCTGGAGCAGGAGCGGGTAAGGAGAAGGGTCTCACAGAAGGAGATGATGAAGTGCAACACAGGCCTGACCCAGCTTCGGCCAGTCGGAGTCACCCTCTGTTGGGCCGAAATGGCCTGAAAGGGTGGGATTGTGACACCCTGCCACCTCCAGTCGTTGGGTGTTGTGGTCCTGAGAAGAGCAAGACGCGAGCTCTCTGTAGCTGAGGCAAACCCCGAGGCTGCCGGCGGCCCGGACAATGCGTCTTTATTTGGAGAGTTTCTGTGTGGCACCTCTCCGGACTCACCCCAGCAAGGAACGTGGGTGTTTTCTGAGTCCTGCTTGGCCAGAGGTCCGAGGGAGCAGCAGCTTGCCAGAAATCCCGTCTCTGTTCTGCTGGCGTCTGAGCCATTTATTCCTCAGCTCCAAGCGCGAGGGCACCGTGAGAGAGGGCACCAGGCTGCTTGTTCAGAGGAGTGACCACCCATTTCAAGAAGAGAGGAGAGCGCAGAATAGCGATTAAGGCTTCACCTCATCCCTACTGTGTGAGCTCCGGGAAGTTATCTAACCTCTCTGAATCTTGACCCCTCCTCTCTAAAAGCCACACCTAATAATAGTAATGCCTCTCCCATAGGAATAATTTTAAGATTAAACGACGATGTATGTAAAGCAGGTAGCAAACACCAGGAAGCACTCAATAAGTGTTAGCTATTAGTCACGGGGCACCACGAGTTAGAACTCTTGGTAGATGTTCTCGCCAAAAGGTCGCTCTGCCCCACATTTACAAGATCTGTTTAGACTGCAAGTAATTTAGCCAAGTGGGTCCTGACATGCCTGTGACTTGCAGGGAGACGTGAGATGTCCTTGGGAAGGAACACAGGCAGCCCCTCAGGGGTGGGGGCCCTCAGCCCACCCAGGAGGTGACTTAGGGCAGGAGCAGGGTCACAGAGCCCACGCCACACCCACAAGTGGATCTTCCCCTCTATGATCAGAGTAGCCTCAGCGATCCGTATTTACCCTGAACGACCGAAGGACCACAAACTAAAGCTTAATGACAGACCTGAAGTTCAGTTACGTGTCATCCCCAGAGGGACATGTTGCTTCTCCAAGGATAATTTGGGTTTCTGGTTTCTCAATTGCAAATTTCCCCAGGACTCCCCGCTGCGTGCTTGCCCAGCAGTGTTTCGCAAACACACAGGCCCTCAGGAATTCATTTCTCATGGGGCTCCCTGGGGAGTGGAGTCTCAGTCCTCAGTGGCTGCTCTTTTCCAGGAGTTCTCCGGGTGCTGGTGGCCGTGCAGGTGTCGGGAGCTCTGGCTGCTGGTTGGAAAGCCCTTCCCTGGTGGGCACTGGCCCCTGGGCGCCCTCCTCTGTTTTGCAGCGTGCGGCGCTCAGGCCGGCTGCCACCTTCTCCCACGGGGGGGCATTCGCGTTGCCCTTCGCACCAGTGCTAGAAATGCTTTCACTCCGCTGGAGCCCAAACGTCCATCTCTATTGAAACACCTTAATGAGCGGCTCCAGGGAGCAGGCCGCTTCCCTGTTGAAAGCACCCTTTGCTCAAGCACATTTTTTAAAAAGATTTTATTTGTTTATTTTTACCATGGGGAAGGGAGGGAGAAAGACGGGAGGTGAAATATCAATGTGTGGTCGCCTCTCACGCGCCCACTACTGGAGACCTAGTCTGTAACCCAAGCACGTGCCCTGACCGGGAATGGAACTGGTGACGCTTTGGTTCACAGGCTTGTGCTCAATCCACTGAGCCACACCAGTCAGGGCTGGAATAGCAGTTTTAACTCCCTGTTCTTGGGGTTGAGACTCCCAGGATTCCATGAGCCTATGAACCCCACCTTTTTTCACTCTAGGAGGCTTAAGGCACCTTATGCAAATAGTCCCTCTGGTGACATGTTGGGATATGCCAAGTGTTGACATTCCAGCAAGGCCCCTAAGCTGTCCCTATCCAGGGCCAGCTCTATTGGAATAGGTTTGGTTTGCTCCAACTTGGCCTACACAATCCCCTTACTGTAGAGTTGTATTCTGATTTGAAAATCTCATTCTTTGATTCAGTGATTCATTATAAATATTTATTGGGTGCCTGCTGTTTGCTAGTAACATTTCTTGAGACTGGGACTTCTAAGATGAAATATACAGTCTCTGCTGTTACGGAACTTACATCCTAATGAAGGAGATAGATGGTAAGTGAACAGATGTGTGATGTGCCGGGGAGAGTTTTGTGCAGAGAAATGAAGCCAGGCAGGTGGGCAGAGAGTGGCCATGCTGTCTGAGACCTGACCGGGGAAGAACAAAGGAGTGAGGGTTAAACAGGGACGCAGGGGAGACGAGGGGGTGAGCCCTGCAAAGAACGAAGACTGCCCTGAGCAGAAGGCAGGCCAAGAGGAAGGGCCCAGGGCCGGAGCAGATTGGCACTGCCCAGGAAAATCAAAGGGGCCAGTGTGCTGGAGCAGGAGGAGGAAGAGGAAGAGAGGAGAACTGAGAAGGAAGCTGCAGCCGGGCCAACTCGTGGAGGGCTTGAGATGCAGTAGGGCTTTGACTTTTACTCAAATGAATTTTCTGCAAAGTGTATCAGGAAGCCATTAGGAGACTCGGATTAGGGAACTAACTCATTGTAAAGGGTCCGTCTGTTGCTGGTGAACACACAGGCAGTCTAAGATGAGAAGTGAGGACACCAGGGCCATTAGAACAGTGCAGGTGACAGGTGATGTTGTGAGGGTCTGGCCTAGACCAGTGCTTCTCAGCCTGGGGCGATTTTGCACCCCAGGGAACATTGGCTAATGTCTGGGGACATTTGTGATGGTCCCGTCTGGGCTTGGCGGTGCTGCTGGGCTTTAGCGGTAGAGGACGGAGATGCAGCTGAATGTCGCGCAGTGCCCAGGACAGCCTCCGCGCGGGAATCATCCGGCCCCACGTGTCAGCAGGGCTGAAAGGCAGAAACTCTGACTTAGAATGCTCCTGGGGGGCGGGGGGAGAGGTGATCTGATTTGAGAGGCATTTTGGAAGGAGAGCTGATGAGACTTTGGGATGGATTAAGCATGAGGCATCTAGGTTGACGGCTGAGCACTGGCCTCGACCGTAGTAACCGTGGGCGACAGCACCGTTACCTGAGAGTGGGGACCCGGGAGTGGAGTCACCTGGGGACATGGCAGGGAGTAAGGAATGTCATTTTGGACATAGGAAGTTGGAGGTGCCCGTAAACCATCTAAGTCAGGGCTGGCAAATTTTTCCTGTAAAGAGCTAGAGGAGCAGCCCTGGCTTGATGGCTCGGCTGGTTGGAGCATCATCCCGTACACCCAAAGGCTGTGGGTTCGATTCCCGGTCAGGGCACATGCTTAGGTTGCAGGTTTGATCCCCAATTGGGGCACATACAGGAAGCAACTGATAGATGTCTCTCTCTCTCTCTCCCTCTCCCCCCCTTTCTCCCCCCCTTTGTATCTCTCTAAAATCAATAAACATACCCTTAGGTGAGGATTAAAAGAAGAGATCTGGGTGATACATACTTTTTACTTGTAGGCCGTAGGTCTCTGGCAGAACTATCTAACTTAGCTGCTTGAGCATGAAAGCAACCATAGCCAGTAGGCAGATGAAAAATGATTTCAAGAAAGCTTTACTTCCGGACACTGTCCACACTCAGTGGGATATACGCTAAGAGAACTTTAAAAAAAAAAATCTTACACTGTTTTCAATGATCATCCGGTTGGCGGTAGCGCTGGTATTGTCGTACTCAAACTTGTGTACGGATTGTGAAATAAAGCAAATGAGTTAGTCATTTGGAGCGCTACCACCCAGGATTTGTAGCATAGAAAAAGAAGATAAAGATGTCAGATCAAAGAATTTAAGTAAAGACCTATAGTTTTGAATTAGAAACCCTGATAAGAAATGCATCTCTTCTGCTCTTGAAATAAGGTTTTCCCTGGGTCTGCCCTCAAAAAAATGTACAGTGGGCACCGCAGCTTCCAAATTTGGGTGCTAAATACTGTTAACCAATAAAAGAAACTGGGACTCCTTGGAGAAATGGCTGAGTCCAGGTCTGGGGCGGGGAGTGTGTAAGGTCGTTGATACATCTTATTATATCAGAAAGCCAAGGTGCACTCGGGTTTCTGGGATCATGTCAGAAAGGTTCAGTGGCCAATTGAAGGAAGCTAATAGGAATAATAACTGCAATTAATTGAAATGCATCAACTGTATCTTTAAATGTATGTGTTCCTAAGATAGAACACAAACAAAATCTCTGATTGGTTCAGTTAGGAAGATGTTGGAGCTGCAGCTGTATCTTCAAGCTGGTAAAGAAAGGGACAGAATCAAGCCCATCTCCTGCCTTCTCTGGACAAACTGTATGATGGGGTAACCACGTAGTTAATGAGGGGCAATTTTTCTCTTGTTACAGCATTTCAGGTGAAAACGTGAAGCAAGAAGGGTGGGAAAAAATATCCCCATTTATAGGCCCTCATGGACTAATGGTTCTAAGTGGTGACCGTGGGCACCTGCACCGGAAGAGAAGGGAGCAGCCGCTCGTGCCTCTTATTGGAAGCGCACGCTGGTCCCTGTGGGTCCCTGCTTCTGAAAGAGCACAAGCCGGAGTCTGGTTAGGTCTCAGGACTCAGTTACCGACGTACAGGAAAACCAGGACCAAGTAAGAGTGAGGCCTGGGCAGTCAGCCAGCAAATTGTAGGCTGCGGGGAACTCTCCAGGACAAATTAAATTGGGAGGAAAAAGAATTGAATTACAAGGAAAAAATAGAAAGAGAGGGCAGAACCTATAGGTTAAAAGAGACTTAAGCAGTATACCAACCGATTGCAATGGATGGAATTTATCTGGACTCTAATTCAAAGAAACTAGATAGAAAGAGAGGGATGGAAGGTGGGGGAGGGAGAGAAAAAATATAACCAAGGGGAGAATGTGAACCTCAACTAGATAACTGACTATATTGAAGGATCATTTTTAATTCTTTAAGGTATAATAATGGGATGGTGGTTGTGCTTCTCTTGGAGAATTGTTGCCTTTTAGAGCCACGTACCGAAATATTGGTAGGATGAAACGACACCGTGCCTGCACTTGCTCCGTGAGGACAGAACGGGCAAGGTGCAGAGGAAGCACGAGGAGCTCGTCGTTGAAGCTGGGAGATGGGGGCCCGGGTTCATTCTATGATGCTCCCGACTTCTACTTACGTTCGAAATTTCCAAAGTGAGAACTGTTTTTGCAAAAGTGCATTTATTAAGGCAGCGATTGGAGAAAGGGTGGGCTGAGACTCGCTAGAAGATGAGGCCTGGGTATTGGTTAAATGAACCCTACTGAAGTAACAGTGGTTGGTAACAAATAAAAATTTCGGGGGTAAACAATATGATTCAGTATGTATGTAGGCTGTTGCATGCTTGCCACACAAAATCTAGTTTCCTTCCATCGCCATGCATTTTACCCTTTTACCAATTCAACGGCTTTTATGAAGCAGGTTAATTTTTTTTTAAAGACTATTTATTTTTAGAGAGAGGAAGGGAAAAGGAGAGGGAAAGAAACACCAGTGTGTGGTTGCTTCTCGTGCGCCCCCTACTGGGGAACCTGGTCTGCAACCCAGGCCTGTGCCCTGACTGGGAATTGGACTGGTGACCCCTTCATTCACAGGCCGGCACTCGGTCCACTGGGCCACACCAGCCAGGGTGAAGCAGGTTAGTTTTTTAACCTGACTTATTTTCTTTCACCTTTATAATTCCTTTCATCCATATTTTGAAAGTTGACTCATCAGCGTGACCACCTGGGACCTAACACACTCACCTGTTTTCAGCCCCCCTCCTAAAACCTATTAATTTCCGAAGCCGATTGTTTTTTTATGGGAAAGCTGTACTCCTCTTGTCGGCTCCCAGGGATGCTAATAAAGTCCCGACGGCTTGCTCTTTAGGCTCCGGGATCTCCAGCTATGGGAATAACCCCCAAGATGTCCCCAAAGCCTTTGAGGACTGCATGCAAAAGGTCCAAGAGCAGATTCCAGCCCACCTGCATGGATCCACGTGCGTTTACTTGGGGGCCACGGCCGGGATGCGCTTGCTGAGGTAAGGACGGGACTGGCACGCAGGAGCCCCTCTGACCAAAATAGCCAAGAATGTGCCGGGCCTTGCCAAGAACGCAGCTCTATTTCTGGGAACAGACCCAAAAGCGAGAAGCCCGTATTCTGCCATAAATGCAGGCTTTAAACGGTGGGAAACTTTTCGTCTTTATTTGTATACCCCCAAAGAAACAGTCCTGAAATCAGTTCCCTTGCCAGTTTTGATGTGACCTCTGTTCATGGGGGTGTACCTTGAATTTTTCTTGGAAAAGTAGAAACTGTTTTTGACACCTGGTATTTTGACATCGGTGCCCGACCAGCTCCACCGAGTGCCTCCCATAGCCGTGCAGCTCGTACCGTGTATAAAGTGTTGCTGAAATCTGCTTTGAAGATCATGGCATTTCTGCCCCTTGCTGCATTCAAAGCCTTAGGAGTTACTGTGAAACAAACATCTCCTTTTAGGTCAAGTTAGCAGGTTCCTTCTAAACGTGCAGCTGTGACTTTTAGGCTAGTTGCATTGTTTCAGCATGCCTTTGTCTTCATTTTATTATTATAGTATTTTTGACCTTGAAATAAAAGAAAAATAGTTTAAAAACAAAAACCCATAGAACTTAAGGGTACGTATGGTAGAGGCTGCTCTACACTTTAAAAATAAGGCGTTATCCCCCAGAATGACACTCCCTCTGCTTTAAAGCCCCTTTGTCTGTGACCCCAGTGGTGTGAGATGACAGGTGTGGGCATGAAGCAAATACAGAGGGACGGACAAGCAGAGCCCCTTTAACGTGATCATCCCCCCCAAACAAACCATGAAGCTCCCCCAGCCGGACTGGGCCTTTTTCTCGCTGTTTTCCTCCCCTCGTTCCTGCTCCTGTGTCCTGGCTGACCAAGTGGAATGCGGAAGAAAGTCGGATTTCTTTGCTCGCTCTTGGAATCTACCATGTGTTTCAAAATTGTTGAGTTTCCCTGAAATAGAAATGATGTAGAAATTCCTTCTGTCTGCCTCGTCTTCCTCCTGGAAACAAAGAACCCAACTTTTTCTTAGTTGCTTTTTTTCTCTGAGTGAGAAATGATTGCGAGACTCTGTCGTTCGTAGCCTGTGACCAGCACCGAGGGATAGAGAGTCAGCACTTGGGAAAAAAGTGAAGGGATGTCCCACTTAAATAAACTATTAATTCCTCCTTGTAAAGCTTTCTGATGGTGATCCATCTCTTCTGAGCAACCAGCTGATATTTTAATTGCTGGAAAAGTCCAATATTAAAAAAAAATTCATGAGAAGCATCCCAGATGAGAACCAATAAAACCAGGGAGCCTCTGAATTATTTTCCAAGTGTTAATAGTTCGCTGCTGAACTGGAATGGATTTCTGTGTGTGGCATTGCTCCTTCTTCTTCATCCAAGAGTGAGCTGTGCCCTGGCTTTCTAAACACACTGACGAAAGGGAAAATAACGCCCCCAGTGAGCTTTCTTCCACAGGGTAAGGTGGCGGCTGGTGAATGAACAATAGAATATAACACCACATCATGGGTGATGTAAGACTGCTGTGTTGCCACCCTCCATCACCATGAACAAAGAACGAAGCAGGGACAGCTGGACACTCCCCCTCTTCCCTTCCCTGCCTCCTCTTAAGCTCCCCTTCCTTCTGGCCTGTTGAGGGCTTCTTTGTACGGTGTCCCCAAGAGATTGCTTATACCACTCCTGTGCCTGCTCCAGTCTCCTTTCCTCTGCTGATCTCAGACAGAGCAGTGGGGGTTAAGCACAAGGCTCTTTTGATGAGCTGGTTCCTAAAGACAGGGACAGGAACAGGAACAGGTTGGGGAGGAGGGAACAAGTAGTGTTTTTACTGGGACCTGTGTTCCTGCTTGGCAGTCTGACAGGTGACAAGTGCGCCCTAACTTCACTGCTACCTTTGAAGCCTCGGCTTGCTGAAGGGGCTGCCTGTGTTGCACACACCTGCAAATTGTCCCTGGCAGCCACGAGGTGGGGAGGTCCATGTGTTCACCTGGGGGAGACGATGTTAAGGCTCTGTTGTCTGGACACTCAGCCTTTTGCGTCCTGTGCCTTGCCTAGGTTGCAGAACGAAACGGCAGCTAACGAAGTCCTCGCGAGCATCCAAAACTACTTCCAGTCCCAGCCCTTTGATTTTAGGGGTGCTCAAATCATTTCTGGGCAAGAGGAAGGAATATATGGATGGATTACAGCCAACTATTTAATGGGCAATTTCCTGGAGGTGTGTGAAAACAAATGCATGGCTTTTATTCTTGCTATTTGTCCCTTCCCCTGTGGGTGGCAGCTTCAGCAGAGGTGCAGCCAACAGGGACACCTGTCCTGTGTCATCCCTGTTGTGTAGTGCATTCAGAAAGCACTTGGGGGACAATAGCCAAGAAGAGATACAGCTGGTGCGAAACCTTGGACCACGAGCAGGGCCAAGTGCATGGGGGAGAGGGAATATCATTCCACTAGCCGATGAGATATTGGGGGAGGGGGAGATGAGAATCTAATGATGGGCTACGGGTAATCTGAAGGGCAGCTGGAGAACAACCCTTCTAAGATGTTCCAGGGCCTCCTGGAATTCACAGAGCCTTCAGGCAGTCTGCCGCCCCAGGTCTCTGTCCCCAGGTGTCCTTCCACTGCAGTCCCCACACTCCCTTCTCCTTTGGCACAGAGGAAAGCTGACTCTAAGGGCCAACCACCACGTTCCAGGGGGCATAAACTGAGGACACTCCCCCTATATCCAGCCCAAGATCGATTCTGTTCCTCCTCAAGTGTATTTTTAAAATTTTCATTAATTGCCAACACTTAATATTTTAGAAATTTCACAGTTCTAGCTTCTCCTGACCTCACTCCCAAAACACTAGAAGTGCTGGTCACAGGGGACTCACATTGCTGCATGATAACAACCAACTGGAACAGAGCATAGCACATGCACTCCCCGGTTTGCCACAGTCCCCGCCATTCCCTATTGTACTTGACTCATGTATATTGCCTGCCAGCCCCCGTAAGCATTTCGGCTCAGCACCCCAGACACGGAGGAGAGATGTGGCCCTGAATGCTTCCCAAAATGTCCTAATTCTTAGCAGTAAGAGATGGGTCTTGGGTGGAGCACCCTGGGCAAACCGAAATGGTATCTTTGGCCTTTCCCCCTTGTTTCCTTTTCCCGCTGCGCAGAAGGACCTATGGCACATGTGGGCGCATCCGAATGGAGTGGAGACCACAGGCGCCCTGGATTTAGGCGGCGCCTCCACCCAGATATCCTTCGCAGTGGGAGAGACGGCGGAGCTGAACACCAGTGACATTGTGCGGGTGTCCCTGTATGGCTACGTGTACCCACTCTACACACGCAGCTTCCAGTGCTATGGCCGCAATGAGGCTGAGAAGAGATTTCTGGCAATGCTCCTTCAGGTACCTGAGCGGGGGGGAGCAGGTGTTTCCTTGGGGGTCTCAGCCGAGGGCAGGGTGCCTTGCCTTCTGGGGTCTGTCCTTTCCAATCCACTTAGAAAGTGGATGAAAACAACAGCGTTTTCGGGCTTGCTCACACGCCCTCTCTCTGCTGTGTTTGACCACTTGCAGTGTATTTGAGTCCGAATGCCAAGGAAATTCCAGAGCTCCAGATGTTTTGTAAACATGATTCGAGTCCCAGGATCCCTTTATGGACACAAGCTGTTTTAAGCCAGTAGCCAAATAAGCCTGAGAATCTTAAGAGTCCCCCATGTTCAGACAAAATAACAACAGCAGCCACGAGAGACATGCTCGCCGTCCCCAGGCTCGGCCTCCTGGTGGATGGACTTATATGAGGCAGGCTTGATGCCCTTTATATGGTGGGATTTTGGAGCCACTGAATTCCATCATGTCGGACAGCGGTTCACATGGTAACCGTTCCACGGCCCAGATGGCTACTGCAGGCATCAGCTCTGTGCTGTCGCTGCTCTAAACTCAGTGTGGTGTAGTGTGTACCAGCGAGCACTAACTCCTCCAATGACGCCCCAGCCCCAGACTCCAGTGCCCCGAGGACATCCACCGCACCACGGCTGAGGAGGGACGTTGAAGGGAGGGGATCTCACCACCCAGAGGGGCATGAGGCCAGCCAGAGGCCACAGATCCTGGCTTCTGACGGGACCTGGGGGAGGAGGCAGGGCTGGGTCAGCCTGTGAACATGGTGGACCCAGCATCGTTAGGGACACTGCCACCTCTCCGACCTCCCTTGGTCACCGAGGAGGGGAACAGCATTCCCCAGACACGAGCCTGCAGAAGCACTGGGCTGGCTCCCAGAAGTGGGGTCTGCAGGATCTCCAGCCCCCTGTGTTTATGGAGCAGTCACGCTGGGCGGTGTGTGAGCATTCAGCCTCCAGCTCCAGTCCACCCCCCACACAGTTCTGTCCCAGCCTCACAGGAAAGGCTGGGGCCTCAGGACACCTGCACCCGACAGGTACGGGCGGGAGAGGCTAGGCCCTGCCGGGAGGATCGGGCGGAAGACCGTGCAGGCAGCCTCCAGCTACTCGTCATGGCTCCGGAGACTCGGGGCCCACCCAACTCTCGCCTCCCCCGCTCCCAGCCAAACCATCCCCAGGGGAACCCAGTCCACTCTCCCCAGCAAGGCCCCCAGCAACGCCCCCAGCACCACCTCTCCTCTCCACCGGCTCATTAAAGTGTTCCAGCCCACACACCTCTTTCCAGGAGAAAAGCTCTAGGAAATCCTCTTTTCTCCACCTCCTTTTATTTCAGTCAATGCTTAATGCTCCACTGGTTGGCCTGGCAGTGGGGGAGTGGGGATGGGGGTAGGGAAGGAGTCACCGGGGAACTCCGGCAGGAGAGACAGGCGAAATGTTCCTTCTCCCAGGGTGAGTGGGGGTCAGAGACTCTAACCTCATAAACTCGGCTGGCCCCAAGTGTAATACTCCACCCATCTGAGGTCTCGTTTGGCTTTGAAACCACAAGTATCCAGGTGTGAGGCCAGGACTGGGAGCAGAGTTGTGAGATGGCAGTCTCTCCCTGGGGACGGTCAGCTCACAGGGACGGGCCATCTCTGCCATGTGCCTGGTGACCTCTGGGTGCCTGAGAGGGTGGCTGTGCCCTGGGCGCCTTCTGACTCAGTGAGGGAAGGGACCCAGAGGATCACCTGCAAGCACAGGTCTGGGCCTGCCCGACTGACACCTCCATCAGCCAGACCTGCGCTGGCAAGACCGGCCCAGATGGTTCACGCACATGATTACATGGTGAACACGGGCGGAGTCAGTGCCACCTGCCTGGGTCCCGTTTCCTCTTCTGGGACGGCAGGGCCTGCACAGTGTGGTGAGGACACCTGGGGAGATACTTGGCCAGTTATCCTCTTATTAACAAGTCTCCAGGCACCCAGGGCTCCCGTCTTTCTCTGGTAGCACAGTTGACACTAGGGACAGGCTTTCACTTTCTTTCTTTCCTTCCTCCAGTAAGATTTTTTTTGTTTTTGTTTTTAAAGTCATATGTGTTCAGTATTTTACTTCGGTCAAGATTTTACTGTAGGGAAAACAAGATGATTTAATGGTTTTGCCACCAGGGTTCCAATCCTGTTCCTTCAAAAAGAGAGTTTATAAACAGAACCACGTACACTTAGGAATGTAGCACAAGGTAAAGGGAACATTATGGTTTTCACCAGTAAATAAAAGATTAGATAGTCATCGGGAAAATGTAAAGTGAGCTCCCTACCACAATCTGTACACCAAATAAGTTACAAACAGATCAGAGATTTGTGTGTAACGAGGATGTTTATTGCAGTGTTGTTTGTAGCGGCAGAAGGATTGGAAACCACACCAGTTTCCATCGAGGGGGCATTTCTTAAATAAACCACAGTTTATTTGCACAGTGAAGTTCTATGCAGCTGCTAAAAAGAAGACGCTGTCTACACTGACAGTAAATGGAAAGATATCAGAGATGGATTTTTAAGTAAGAAAAACAAGGGGCAGAACAGTGTGTAGAGTCCTACTGTGTATGGTTTTTAAAAAAGAGCTAAGAAAGGACACACATATTTGCATATGCATATGAGCATCACAGGCAAAATCTCTGATAGAACACACAAAAACCGGCAACAGAGGTCACTTCTGGGAGGTGGGATCTGGTGGGTGGGAGGGGTGAGGGGGACACAATTTTCACATGTCCGTGTGTCCACTCTGGGCTGTTTTATTAGGTGGACAGATAGCACTTCATTCCCAACGGCCGATTAATCTCAGCATACCTTGTTTTCTCGTCCAAACGGAGTTCCTGAAACCTGCTTCACGGCGCTGTCCTAGGGGCTGGGTCAGGTCATGGGCGAGAGAGCCTGGCCTGTGCCTGGTGCAGGTCCCTGTCCCCACCCTGCCACTTGAGTTGTTTAGACAACTTGGGAGCCGCCTTCAAGTACCCACTGACCGAGAACGGCATTTTTTCCATTTCTCCCTTGGCATTAGAGAGTAGCAACTATGAGAATTTGCAAAAAAAAAAAAGTATTTGGTCCTTCACAAATGAGTGATTTCTAATAGCTCGCTCTATTTTTTTTTTTAAGATTTTACTTATTTTTAGAGAGAAGGGAAGAAAGGGAGAGAAACATCAATCAGTTGCCTCTCCTACATCCCCAGCCGGGAATCAAACCGGTGACCTTTGGCTTTGCAGGACTGCAGTCCAGCAGCTGAGGCATGCCACTCAGGGTTCTAATAGCTCACCGTTGTCCCTACAGAATTCTACCACCAAAACCAATGTCATCAACCCCTGCTACCCTCGCGATTACTCCACCTCCCTCAAAGGAGGCCACGTATTCGACAGCCCGTGCACAGAGGATCTGAAGCCTGGACGTTATGACCCCAACGACACCATCACTTTTGAAGGAACCGGGGACCCATTGCTGTGCAGGGTGAAGGTGGCCTCCCTGTTTGCCTTCAAAGCTTGCCGCGGGCGAGAAGTCAGCTGCTTTGATGGTATTTATCAGCCGGCAGTTAAAGGATCTTTCGTGGTAAGAGCAGAAATCGCTGAAATAACTACCTTTTCTTCCCACTGAACATCTGTTTCTCAGCTTTCTATTTCTCGTCTGCCGACCTGCTTCCCAACATCTGATTCCCTGCCTGCAACCCCCCACCGTCGGTCCCGTTCTGAGAGCTGATGTGCTTCCGTTCTGCCTCCTTGCAGGCCTTTGCAGGGTTCTTCTACACAGCCAGCGCTTTGAACCTCACGGGCAGCTTTTCCCTGAGCACCTTCAACTCCAGCACCTGGGATTTCTGCTCACAGAATTGGGGTCAGGTCAGTATTTAAAGAGGGAGGGTCAGTAGCAGTATAAGGCGGCAGCGCAGAGTGTGTTCCGTTTGTGCACACGTGCGTGTTCCGGATTTGGCCTTTACACGGTTCTGCTTTGAACCCCATAAAGTGGGAGCGTGAGGGCCCCACGCCCGCATCCCGGATGAACGGTCCGACCACAGAAGCGGTGGTGAGAGGGGTGTCTGGGTCGGTAAGCGCTCTGCAGACTGAGAGACTGTTTTTACATGATGTTGTGGGGGGATGTTTTCAATATTATGTCATTGCATTATTTTCTCGTACTTTCATAATGAGATTCTGGGTGGTACGATTCTTTCAAATAGGGCTGTTGACCTCCGGGGTCCTGAAATGTGCCTTTTACAACCCCCTGCCCGCCTTCCCCCTGCAGCTCCCGCAGCTGCTGCCCCGGTTCGATGAAGCCTATGCCCGCTCCTACTGCTTCTCCGCCCACTATATCTACCACTTGCTCGTGAGCGGGTACAGATTCACCGAGGACACCTGGCCCCAGATCTGTTTTAAAAAAGAAGTAAGTCGGAGCCCAGATCTTGTCCTCCTCTTCCTCTCAGTACAGAGGTCTGTGTGGGTGCATGCGAAAGATGAGCCTGGTCCCTCGGGAGCTTCCCAGGAGGGGTGATGGGGAGTCCAGAGGAGGCAGCGCCCGCAGACCCTTCCCCACGAGGAAAGGGTTGGAAGCTGGGCCCTGGGGGCTCTGAGTTCTGTGCTGGCAGGACTGCGCCCTCATCCCTGAGCATTCAGCGCAGGGCCAGGAGCCTGGCTGGTGCTTAGTGAGTGTTTGTTGAGTGAATAAATAGATTAAGGACTTGAGACTTCATCCCCAAAAGAACCTTCGAGTAGAACACTATTAAGAGAACAAAGAAGATAGTAACTAATGGCCCTCCATTTACGCAGTGTCAGCGTAGGACACTGGCTCCAGGGCCTGAGAGATTAAATAAAATTTTCTCTTGGAAAGAGCCCAAGGCACCGTATTTACTGTCCAGTGTCTGGAATGGGCCACAGCTGGAGTCACAGCTGTCCCCAGGTGACTGGTGACGGGCCTGGGTCCCTGCTTTCAGGCAGAGCCAGCCCCGCAGACCTGAACAGGTGTCCCCTGGGTCTGGGAGCGCCGTCCGCTTTCAGAAATAGCAGGTCCAAAGCCCAAAGGGTATCTGGAGTCAGTCTGTTCAGGATCAACTTTGGCGGTAATTAGATTGAACCAGTCAACACCCGACATTAGCCCATGACTGTCTTTTACGCAAATAAATCAAATCATCGACAAGGAAAGATGTCTGGAGACATATCGGGACTGTGGGCAGCATGGCCTCGCTAGGCTTTACCTCATGATCTAATTACTAGAAAGGTGCATTGTGGGAATGGAGAGAGACTTTCCAATGAATACCAGCCTGGACGCAACAGAATTCTAGGTTCCAAGTTCCTTCCATTATTTATGAAGAATTTTTTTATCCAGCCAAATTAGTGTGTAAATGTGAGAGCACAGGAAGGCTTCAGAGGCGGTGCTACACAAAGACTTAACGTCAGAATTGGTTTTGGAGGAGGTACTTAAGTAAGAATAGAAATAAATCCAGGAGATGTTATAAAAACACAGGAAGGAAGAATAAATGATGTTGTAGTTTAACAGGTATATTTTTTTAAAAAAAAGAAAACTAAAGCCCTGGCTGGTGTAGCTCAGTGGATTGAGCGCGTGCCTGTGAACCAGAGGGTCGTGGTTCGATTCCCAGTCAGGGCACATGCGTGGGTTGCAGGCCAGTTCCCAGCAGGGGACCCACGAGAAGCAACCACAGATTGATATTTCTCTCCCTCTCTCCTTCCCTTCTCCTCTAAAGATCAATAAATAAAATCTTTTAAAATAAAAAAAGGAAGAAGAAAACTAAGAACCCCCAAAAGGCAAAAGAAGAATTTATCCATATACCAGAATAATCCAGAATTCAACTGTAGCCCATGTCCAGTGTGATGGAGACAGGATAGGACACAGGACAGAGGACATGGGGATGTAAGAGTGGCCGAAACTGCTCGTCTTTTAAAGGGAACACACACACACACACACAATTTTTAAGACAAGAAAGGAAAAATAAATATAGGAAGAGAGCACTCTTTAAAAATTTTAAACTAACATATTAGAAGTCCAAATATATCAATAATCACAATAATCATAAATGGGCTAAATTTACCAGTTAAGAAACAAATAGTGTCAGACCAGGTTTTAAAAAATCAATTAATGTGGTTTGTAAGAGAAACACTTTAAAGAAATACTTAGGCTTGCCACACGAGGACATGGAAAGATTGAAAGTTAAAAAAACTTTTTTACATGTCAGACGAACATCACCCAAAAGAAAACTGGCGTAGCTATTTGAGATCTGAAGAAAAAAAGTCTTTAAGATACAGAGCATCATTCAGGAGAGAGAGGATTGCAACATAATGCTAAAAAGTTCAGTTCATCCTTAAAATTGGAAATTTGAAATACTTATCCATCTAGTAAAACAACCTAAAAATGATGGAGCTACCTAGGTTCCAACCTAAAATTGATGGAACTACCAGAAGAAATTGACAAAGCCAATTTATTAGAAGCCGGTCCCCAGTTTAGTAAACACACATTACCCTCTTCCTTCAGCCGCTGACAGTAGGAAAGTTCTCACTGTTGTGAACTGTGCTCTCATCACACTCGGCTGTAACGAGCTTGGGAGGATTAGTTCTGACTTTCTCTGCAGGGCTGGAGGGGGGCTCTCTCTCTCTCTACCCTCTGGGGTCCCAGTGACCTGGACTCTGGCCCAGTCTGCAATGTCTGAACTTGAGCAAGACCTTTGACCTCCTTTCCCGTGGGTGTTCCATGGACAGTGGTGGGCCTGGGTATGCAATTCCCACCCTGTCCCCTGCCCGGGGAGCTGAGCTACCTCTTGTCCTTCACAGGTGGAAAACAGCAGCATAGCCTGGTCTCTGGGCTACATGCTCAGCCTGACCAACCAGATCCCAGCAGAAATGCCCCTGGTCCGCCTGCCCCTGAAGCCCCCGACCTTTATGAGCACCATGGCCTTCTTCACGGGAGTGGCCTTGCTGAGCCTGGCCTTCCTGGTGGTCTACCTGTACATGTCGTCCAGGAAACAGCGGCGCTCCCAGCATGTCTTGGACCACACGGTGGATTCTGAGTGAGCCTTGGAAGCAGCTTCTGGAACCAAAGGGCCACCCAGACCCAGCCTGGGCGGCACCAGACAATGCACATGAAATGCCTGTCTGCGGGGGACACAACCAAAGTCAAATACTTAGGTCGTGCGCCCCCTCAGACACCGACCGATGCCAAAGCACCTCCTGGGGAGTCCCTCAACTGTTCTGTGTACCTTGCTCCTCCAGGGATGCCACCCCCTGGCTTGCTGGCCTCCTGGGAGCAGGGAAGACGGGCCATCAAAGTCAGGCTCTGTATTCCCGTGCCCAGGAGGGAAAGTAAGCGGAGCCTAAGACAGTTTAGTGTTGAAGAACTGGCTTCAGGGCTCCTTCCGCACTCTGTCCTCCATCGGAAGCGCCGTGTTCCTCCTGGTGAGTTTGGAGGCTGCACCCACGCAGCCTTTGACCCAGTCCTAGAGCTGGTTTTGTGGCTTTCTCCCAATTGTCCTTAACTGAGACTTCCCTCTAGCAATCCCATACACATGCAGCTCCTTCAGACCGTCGAACAGTCTTTGGGAGAGACAACGCCTTTACGCCAAACAACGGTGGTCACAGCCAGCTTCTGTCATGCAGGCAGAAAGAACCTGAAGGACAGACACACAGCAAGTCTCCCAGAAAACTCCTGGCCATTTTCGAAGTGGGGTTCCCACTCGGGCCTCTGGTCGTTAGACTGCAGCTGATGTGTGTGGCACTATCTTGCCCTCCCCTGCCCACTGCTCTTGTTGTCGTAGGCAGCGTGTGCTGCTGGCGAGGGTGTGGCACCCCAGATCACTTCTCCATCCTTCCGTTGTTCGCATGGAGTGCGCATTTTGTCCACCGTTCCCGCAGGTATACTTGATGCTGTCACATGCTGTTCCGGCATCTGCCTACCAGTTACTTAGCTACGTGGTAGACCTTGCTGCATAGTAGCCATTGTTCTCGACTTTGGAGAAAGAAAAGGAAGCTGCAGGGACATTTAACACGGAAGTGGGATGAGAAAGAACGCCAGCATGTCAATGGCTACCAAGTAAAAATCAACATGCTTTCAGATTGTTGTTTGGTAGCTTGCCGGGGAATAAAGGACTCAATTTATTTTGACTTGCGGTGTGTGTGTGTTATCTTGTATATAGTACTTTCTCCGAAGGTCCTACAGTGGTATTCATGGGAAGAAACTTTAAAAATGAAGAACATTTTCTTAGGAAAACTTTCCTAGTGAATTAAGAAAATGATGCTTGAATGTTACCTTTATTCCAGAGAGTTCAAAGGGCTTCACTCTGATAAACCTTTGGCTCCCCAGGATAACTGGTGATAACTGGTGAACATTTCTTTGCCTTATTTGGCAGCGACACTTCTGTGGGGACACAGCCTGCCATTCAGGTCTTGACCCTCACCCAGAAAGGCTGCTCCGGTTCTAAGATGCACTCTTGCTCCCATAGTTCTCCCTGCCTAGACCATGGGTCATCCTTGTACCCAGACTATGCACATTTCTCAGGGCCCAATTCTAACTCTGCTTCCACAGAGCTTTCTTTAAACACACACACATACACACACACACACACACACACACACACACACACTATAGTGTATCTCCTGGACTACCTGTGCAAAACTGATTACGTTATAAATTCTTACATCATTATTTATCTTTGTGTGTGCACATGGCTTGTTTCTAAAATAGACAGAAGGCTGCTTATGAGCCAAGCCCGCCATTCATCACTTATTCAACAGACACCTAAGAAACACCTACTGTGGTCCTAACATTTTGCCTTGTGTGACCTTGGATTTGGGTAAATGCTATGAATGTATTACATACTCAACATATTGCTTGACTGATATTGACTGGAGGGTAGGCAATAAGTTATAGAGCTATTAGATAAGAATAGCATACAAATCACCGAGAGTTGATGGGAACAAAAGGGTATGTCTGAACAGGAAACAGGGCCAGGGCTTCTTGAAGGCGAGCCCCAGTCAGCATTTCTAGCCCATTCAGGGATGTGGAATAAGCTAATGAGGTATCTGGGGCTTTCTCATGTATATCAGTCTTTTTGTGTTGTGTTGTGCTGTGTTTTTTTTCCCTTATCAAAGAATCTTCACAGATGGACAATCACCAAATCTTCAGACCAAGTGACGTAGCCAGGACTGCCGCGGGAGGCAGAATCGAAGGTGGACTTCATGCTATTCACCCCTGGTGTTACTCTCAGGATTAGGTCGTTATGTGAGGACATGAGCGATTTGAGGACATAAAATGTAATTACTAATCAGTTGACCTTAAAATGGAGAGGTTATCCAGGTAGGCTTAACCTCATCAGATGAGGTCTTTCAAGGCAGAGAGTATTTCCTCCGAAACGGCTGGTCATATTCAAAGCACAAGAAAGGCTTGACTGTTGCTAGCTTAAAAATGGAGACAGCCAGGTGGAAATGGCCCAAGAGCATTTCCTAGGAACTAAGAGCAACCCCTGGTTGACAGCCAGCAAGAACCTGGGACCTCAGTCCTATAACTCTATGAAACTGGGTTCAGCCAAGAACCAGAATGAACTTGGAAGCAGGTTGCCCCAGAGCCTCCAGATAAGAGCTCCACCCAGTTAACACGTTGATTTCAGCCTTGGGGACCCTAAGCAGGGGACCCAGGTGAGCCCACCTGGACTCTGACCTATAAAACTGCAAGGCAGTAAACGCAGGTTTTTGTAGATCACCAAGTTTGTGGCAATTCGTTACACAGCAGTAGGGAATTAATACGGCTCCAGAGTCCCAAGCCCCTTGGCTCCAGCCAGAGCCACCTCTTATGCATGGAATTGGTGGTGAAGGTGACAGTAATTAGTTATCACAAAGTGTGCTCGTTCTTTACAATAACCATGTGAGAAAAGCATGGGCTCAGAGGTAAAATAATACGCCAACACCATCCAACTAGTAAGCAGTTTCGGAGATGGAGATTGTGAGTTGAGATTCTGACCTGCTTGGGTCTGAAACCCTTACGTGTAGCCAGTTCCTTTCACAGAGAAAGGCAGCCCTGTGGCAGGGAGGAGTTTGGCCTTAGGATTGTCTAGCCCAACATACGGTCACTTGATTCATGACACAGAGGTGTCACATCAGATCAGTGAGAAAAAATGGGGGACACCTGGATTCCCATGTGGGAAAAGGAAGTTCAACCCCTCCCACATATCATTTTCAAAAGTATTTCCAGGTATGAACGATAAACCAATAAAGGTTTGGGGATAAAGTGTAGGGGAAACATTTTAAGATCTTGAGTGAGGAAAGGGTTTCTTAAACACCACACACACACGCAAAAGACTTAACCATAAGAGGATACTTGATATGTTTGATTACATTAAAATTAACTTCCATTCATGGAAAAACACCACTAAAAGAGTAAAAAGACAAGCCACAGAGCGGAAGAAGGTATCTGCAACATAAATGACCAATAAAGGACTAGTTTTTATTTTTATTTTTTTAAAGATTTTATTTATTTATTTTATGGAGATAGGGAAGGGAGGGAGAAAGAGAGAGAGTGAAACATCAATGTGTGGTTGCCTCTCACACACCCCCTACTGGGGACCTGGCCTGCAACCCAGGCATGTGCCCCAACTGGGAATCAAACCAGCTATGCTTTGGTTCACAGGCTTGCGCTCAACCCACTGAGCTACACCAGCCAGGGCCAAGGACTCGTTTTTAAATTACACAAAGAATTCCTCCAAATCAGCGAGAAAAAAATCAGATGATCCAATTTTTTTCTCAACGGGCAAAAGGCTTGGCAAGGCACTACACAAGGGAGAAATGTTCAATACACAGGAAAACGCACTCAGTCTGACTAAGTCTGTCAGGGCAACGCATACTCAGACTGCTGTGAGTTAACACTATGCAAATTAAGGCAGCCGCCCTGGGAAACTGTGGTATGGTCTACAAAGTTGGAGATGTGCTTCCCCGATGATCCGGAAATCCCAGTCCAAGAGATATGCCTTAGAGGATATGTGTTCTAAGGTACGTACATGTGCATTCGCCAGGATACACACCAGAGAACATTCTTACTGGCAAGCAACATGCCAATCCCATAAAATGAAAGAGTAAACAGTGATATATCTGTAATGGAAAATACCACACGGCCTGAAAACAAAAGAACTACCAATATATGTTCAATATGGGTGACTCTCACAGGGTAATAAGTCACAAAAGGTATATTATATATATATAGATTTATATATAATATTTATATAAAAATATACATTTATATATAAAGTATATATATATATAATTCTATTTATATAAAGTTCAAAAACAGGCAAAACTAAACACAGAAGATAAACTCTGAAGAAAAGCAAGAAAATCATTACTCTTACATTTGGGGGGTAAACAGAGGTTGTGTTCAGAAAGGCATAAACAGAGGTCTCAGTCTGCTAGGGCCACCATAACAAAATACCAGAGACCAGATGGCTTAAGCAACAGAAATCTAATTTCTCATAGTTCTGGACGCTGGGAAGTCCAAGATCGAGGTGGCAGCCGGTTCAGTTCCTGGAGAGAGCTCCCCTCCTGCCTTGCAGACAGCTGCTTTCTCACTGCGTCCTCGCACGGTCTTGCCTCCGTGCTTGTGCAGGCAGAGTGGGCTCTCTGGTGTCCTTCTTACTAATCCTGTCATGATTAGCGGGCACTGCCTCATGACCCCAGCTGACCTGAACTACCTCCCCAAAGCCGCATATCCAAATGCCATCGCGTTGGGGGTTAGGACTTTTAACAAATGAATACCGAGGGCACACAAACATTCGGCCCATAGTAACAGGGCTTCTGGGGTGAGAGAGAGATTCTAGAACTAGTTAGTAATTACAGGGGTTCCCTTTTTGCAACCATTTATGCACTTTCTGTGTGTCCTTTAAAGAATAAAATTATAGAACTGGACTAACTCAAGAATTTTCTATTTGCTACCTCTCTGATCTCATAAAGTCTTTCAACCCCTTTGGGCCTTTATTTCTTCATGCATGAAATGGGAATAATAGCTACATCACGGGAGAGTTGAGAAAAGAGAAATTTAGTATTCAGTCAGTGTCTGTCATGGAACATAGCCAATGAAGTTTTAAAACATATTTATTTCATCCATTTACTTATTCATTCACTCATCACATTTGCCAAAAAAAAGTGTACGATATGCTAAGTAAGTCCTGGGCTGAGTTCAATTCAGACTGAGGTTGGAAGAGAAACGGAACAGTATCTTTCCTTTTGAAACACGTGAGACGTGAGCGCCCTCTGCTGGAGCTACGGAGAAAATCTTTCCCACACCGGGCCCTTTTTTTTCTTTTCTCCCTAACTAAAGATGCTTAGAAAAAACGTCATTAGGTCAAAAATATTTTTAATATTATCAAATAATGAGTCAATTGGGAAGTTGAACACTCGATGGGGCCAAGGATTGTTGTTAATTTTTTTAGGTCAGACAATGGTCTTACGAAAATTTTTTTCAAGAATCCTTACCATTTAGATAGATGCTACATTTCCAGATGAAATGACATGTCTGGTATAGCAGTCAGGGTTTGACCAGAGAAATAGAACCAGTAGGAGATATATATTAAGAGACTGTGTTTGCAACAAATCCCTTATGTGAGTGTCGGGGCCGGACAGGCAAGTCCAAAATCCACAGGGTAGGCTGTCCCGAAGGGGCAGGCTGGAGCCCTAGGCTTGTAGCTGCTGTCCACAGGGCGGACTTCTTCTTTCTCAGGGAAACCTGGGTTGGCTCTGCTCTTAAGGTCTTTCCACTGATCTAGTCAGGCTCGCTAAGATGACTCAGGATAATTTCCCTTAAAAACAACTGATTCTAGGCTTTAATCACATCTACAAAATACCTTAACAACATCTAGATTAATGAATAACTGAATATTGTAGCCTAGTCACATTGACATATAAAGTTGACCATCACATCTGTGGATTCAGAATGACGCGGAAAGGAGGATGTGGGTGGGACAGGACGAGCCAGTCCTCTCAGGGGTTGGACCAGTGGGCCGGGCAGGCGTCCTGAAAGGGGCGTGGCTGGCCTGCCTGGGCTCTGCATGTGCTTGGTTTGGGGGTTTGGTTTCTGATGTCAGTAGCTGCTAATGATTATTTGGCTCATTGTTGGATACCCATGACCTTGTAAGGTGGCCAAGACTTACTTAGAGAGTTATCTTGCCATTAGCACAGGGCTTGGAAGAAATCTGAAAACAGCTTGGGGCTGCTTGGGAAGGAGTCTCAAAACTCTCTTCTCTCACTTCTTCAAGGACCGACCCACTGTTGCTCTCCGTGGATGGTGAGGAGCACATTCTAGGAAGAGGGAGCCCAAGTGCACGAGAAGCCACGAGACCTGTAGCTACAGCATGGAAAGGGGTGAGAGTGAGCTGAAGCGGTTGAGCAGGGCCCTGAACACCAGGCTAGGGAGTTTGGACTTTATTCTGTAGAAGAGGGGATTGAAATGACAGTTTGGAAGACTTTAAATAGGGGTGACTGAATCACACGATGAACTTTAGAAAAATAATTCGATGACTGTGGAGAATCTGAGTGTTCCCCACATTGTACCCAGTGAGCCACTGGGGAGCTCCTGTTTAAATGCAGATTCTTACCCCCCCCCCCCCCCCTTGAAAATCAGGTTCTCTGACGGTAGAGCCAGGAAACGCCATTTTGGGAGTTTGTTTATTTATTTGCTTTTTTAAAGCTAACATATATTTTTGGGAAAGAGATGAACCAGTCATAAAGGTAGTGCTTTGAATTTTCACAAGCTGAACACGCTCTCATAATCCACACCCAGGCAAAGCAGAACTCAGGCAGCACAGAAGCCTCTTCACCTACTCACTGAAACTTCCACAGGTAAACATGTTCATTACCTTTAACACCCAGATTAGTTGGCCTGTTTTGAACTTCATATAAATGAAATTACACAGTATACACTTTGTGTCTGACTTATTTCATTGTTATCTGCGAATGTGTCCATGTTCATGCAGATGCCTATTGATTCCAGTATAAAAACTTCTACAATGTACCCATTTTCTTGCTTATGGGTCTTTGGGTTGGTTGTTCCTTGTTTGGGCCTCTTAACCACAAAGACATGAATATTCTTATTCTACCAAAAGTGCATGAATATTCTTATTCATGTCTTTGGCTTTATAAATTATAAAGCAGGATACCATGGCCTAAAGACTATTCATTCACTACCCACTAATTGAGCCCCTTGTAAGGCGCTGTGCTAAGAAAATGCATTCAAGGCATGGCTGAGGTGCTGCCCTCATAGAACTTACTCCAGTTGGTGCAAAACTACAAACTAAGTGGACAGAAAAATGAGTCAAACAACTGTGATAATAGGTCTGAGGAAAACAAAAAGCTGATCTACTAAAGGGACAAGGGGACTGACCTATGCTTTTCACGTGGCAACCATGCAGTGAGTATGAACAGAAGGAAGAGTGTTCTTGGCAGGAGAGAAAACACGCAAAAGTCATAGAACAAGAGACGGCTTTGTCCTGTTCAAGACCAAGGTGGCTGAAGCACAATGAAACGGGTACAATGAAACTGGCACAAGGTGTGTTTAGACATAGGGACATATGGTGCCCAGCTTTGCAAGCTAGAGGCAGCAGTTTCGATTTTATTCTAAATACTGTAGAAAGCCATTAAAATGATTTAAACAGAAAGATGTGATTTGATTTTTTTTTTTCAAAAAAGATCCCTCTGACTGATAAGCAGAGAATAGATTACACAAATCAACAGAAAAAACCGGTCACTTAGGACCTGGCTTAGAACAGTACTGGCAGCATATGCTGGCATAGAGCTTACAGGAAAAGACTAAAATAGATTTAGGAATTGTCAATAAAATAGTCACCATCTTCACCGAGTTATGAAAGGTGACACAGTGGTACTGGGACAAGGAGATATCCTGCCTGTGTCCTGATATGGTGCATTGAGCGCACAGCATTTCTACCAAAAGTGCATAATCTGAATGTAATCGTGGGGAAAACGACAATAAATCCACATTTAGAGGCATTCTACAAAATGACTAGCCTGTATTTGAAAATGTCAGTATTATGAAACACAAGGTAAAGCTTAGAAACTGTTACAGATTAAAAAACGAAACAAAACAAAACAAAACAACTGGATGCAACTAAATGCAACTGGTAATCCTCCATTAGATTGCGGACCAGGAAAAAAAAACTTAATTTACTCTAAAAACTGTAAGTGGGATAATTGATAACATTTAAATAAGAACTATAGATTAAATATTAGACTACTAGTATTTCCTGATTTTGACCACTGTACTGAATGTGGAAGATAATGTCCTTGTTTTTAGGAAATGAGACATTTCGTAGTGTAGCGATAAAGGTCGTGTCTGCAATTTCCTCTCAAATGGGGCTCAGAGAAAAATGATGGAATGATAATGCAAACATAAAATGTGACCATTTGGGGAATCTTAAAAGAAGCGTTTATGGGAATTATTTGTATTAGTTCTGCAACTTTTCTGTAAGTCTGAATTGCTTTAAAATGAAACGTTAACAAAGTTATTGGGGTAACTCAGAAAAAAACCTAGTACTACGCCATGAGTAACACTGAGACAAAATCGAGAGCAGTGAGTAGCGGGAAATGGAAGAATGTTAAAAAATAAAGTCAAATGGAATGTGGACAATTACACTGGAGTCATAGTTCCCGTGCTCTTCCTCACCCTTAAGTACTAAGATAAGCTGCAACTCGAGCGCTCGACCTCCGAAGGCGATCTCGTGGTTCGGGTTAACGAAAAAATTCAACCCAGCTCAAGCCGGCTCCGCCCTGTTTTCCCAGTGAGCATGCGTGTGCGCGCACGCAGCCACAATTCTAACCAATCAGTGCCCACGTCCGCTCCTCCTTTAGTGCAGGGGCGGGGCGGTCGACTACACTTGCGTAAGGTTGGCCAGGCCCTTTCCTCTCGCCGGACGCCGCCAACATGGTGAGTATGCTGTCGCGGGCTCTGGGTTTGGCGGCCCCGCAGCTCCTCCACCGCCCGGGCGGGGGCGCGGAACGACGCCCAGCGGGCTTTATGTGTGCGTGGCGAGGGTCCCCGGGCGGGTGGAGCACGACATTTAGGAGTTTTCTGGGCGCGCGATCCATGAACGCATGGAGGGCCCGGCAGGCCTGGCGCTCCGGGGCCACGTGTGCGCGCCATCGCCGCCAAAGTCCGGGGCCTGATGGTCGGTGGCTTTGCATGGCCGGGATGCCGTTGCCAAGCCCGGCCGGGGCAAGGAGGCATCATCGGAGGCTGGTGAAACCCTAGCTTTTGCCGCCGACCCCGCCTCTGCGGATTTCGTCCATCTAGGTCGACCCATGGCACTTGAGCGTATTTCCCTCAACATTCTTTTTAGCTCTACTGAGACACGTTACCTGTAAACTGCAAAGTCTTATAAACTGTAGAGAATTTTTAGTGAGTTTCACTGCTCTCTCCTTTTCTCTCCCTTGCTCATTTTAGGTGTTCAGGCGCTTCGTGGAGGTTGGCCGGGTGGCTTACGTCTCCTTTGGGCCCCACGCCGGGAAGCTGGTCGCGATCGTAGATGTTATCGATCAGAACAGGGTAAGTGTGGGGGGAAATGTCACACCTTCACATGGCAGTGGGTGGTATGCGGAACAGGATGGTAATGGTCCCAGCGGCCCCCTGAGGTAGGAGTACTGCGACTGATGCCTTATTTTACCTTGAGAAAAACAGACAGTGCGCAGACAGTAGGGGTTTTGAGCATAGATTTCAGCTGGCCCAGTGCTACTGGGTTTGATTATTACCTCTGCCGCTTAAACTAACCAGAACTTTTCATGGGTAAAATATTGGTGAGGTTTAAGTGAGTTCCTGTGTATAAAGGGAGGTAGAACAAAGCCCCACACAAGGAAAGCTCTTGATTGCTGTGGTCAGCCTCTTAGTTTGAGAGCCACAAACTAAGGGGTTGACCAAAGGCTGTGAATGAACAGTAAGTAGTGTGTTGGGAATGGAAGGATTGAAGACTTAAAATGTCAAGTAAATTATATGCAGTTGGGTTATACACTGTACTACTCATGGTTTAATCTTTTAAGAAAGCATTTAAACAGCAGGGATTAGATTCTGAAAGGATATGATGATAGACTGTCCATTTTGAATGCTGCTAAGTTTTTTTACTTTGTTTGAAATATTCTAGGCTCTGGTTGATGGCCCTTGCACTCAAGTAAGGAGACAAGCTATGCCTTTCAAATGCATGCAGCTCACTGACTTCATCCTCAAGTTCCCACACAGGTAGGTATCACCAACCACACCCTCCTGGCTTTTATATATTTATTTTAAATTTCTTTTTAGAGAGAAGGAAAGGGAGGGAGAGAAACACTGATGTGGGAAGAGAAACATGGATTGGGCATTGCCCTGACTGGCAGTCGAACCAGTGACATTTTGCTTTGTAGGATTCCCAACCAACACTGGTCAGGGCCGAGCTTCGTTTATACTAGAAAAACTTTTCTTAGTATAATTCAAAAAAAGGTTTTTGTTATTTTACTGATGTTCCCTTGAGAATATAGTAAACATCGTTGAAGTGAACATCGAAGCAATTGAGAGGAGGAATTTACAGTGTAGAAGACCTGTATCCAGATTTGCCATTCTTTGCCCTCTCACTCACTTGCTCTCGTAGGATGTTTTTTTCAGGATACACACAACAAAGACTTTCCTAAGAAATTCTGGTTTCCTTTTCATACCAACTCTTGTCTCCTAATACTCTAGTTGTCTTTGTTAAGGTTTCACATCAGTTATGAGTATTTAATGTACATCATCTCATAACAGCTGCTGAAATGGTTCTATTCCCAGCTACTTACAAGGACTTGAGACAATCAGTGATTGTCTCTTGACATGGTACAGACCGTGGAAGTTCAAGCACTGTCACCATGCAGTCATTTCCCCACCATGGCGACTGGCTGCAGTGGGACACATGCTGTGACCAGTTTATTTTTAAGTAAAAAAGTAAAGGTTTCAGTGCTCAAAATACTTGGGAGAAAGTGATTCTCTGATGTTTGGCCAAAAGTCTTTAAACCTTTTGTGCAAAATAAAAACAAAAAAGGATGAACTTAACTGCCTTATTTGTGGAAGGAAATTGCTTTCTACACTTCCACTCCTCTAGAGTGATAATCTAGACATGCTAAGAGATCACTTTTAAATCCTGAACACGGACTGGTTTGCTATTTTTTATTGTGTGTTTGAGATTATAGGCGTCCTGGCTTAGTGAATCCCGTCTGAATGAGTAGAAGATGTGTGTGTGTGTGTTCTGGAGACAGCTGGAGCTAGAGGTGTAACATGAGAGGGGTGCTTTTGGCATCATTTTGCTTAGGATTTTTTAACTGATGGGGGCATGAGTTCTGCTTTTCAGACGGCACAAAGCTGTCCTTGAGTCTGTGTGGCTGCAAAGCTGACTTCTTAATTTCTGATCTTGGCTCCAGTGCCCGCCAGAAGTACGTCCGACAGGCCTGGCAGAAGGCGGACATCAACACAAAGTGGGCAGCCACGAGGTGGGCCAAGAAGATTGAAGCCAGAGAAAAGGTGATGGCTTGTGGTCATTAGAATTCTGACCTCTTCTTTTTTGGAGGTTTGCAAGATGATGTGAGAGATTTTTTTGTTATATTTTTAACAGAAAGCCAAGATGACGGATTTTGATCGTTACAAAGTCATGAAAGCAAAGAAAATGGTAAGTTTCAAAGTTACTACGGGATTGTTACGATTTTAAATCTAAGCTTGTCTATGTAGTAGTTCTGTTCACTGAAGCTTAGTAGGCCAAAGTTGAATTCATAGGGGTCTAAGACATAGGGTTGTTTCTTACGCATGATATACATGTATGTTAATATATACGACAATAGCTTCTGTATCATGTATAATAAATACAGACTTTAAAATTTTTCAGAGGAACCGATTAATCAAGCTTGAAGTCAAGAAGCTTCAACGGGCAGCTCTCCAGAAAGCGTCTCCCAAAAAAGCGCTTGCTGCTAAAGGTGCAGCTGCAGCTACCACTGCGAAGGTTCCCGCTAAAAAGGTGACCGCTGCAGGCAAGAAGGCCCCCGCCCAGAAGGCCCCCGCCCAGAAGGCCGCAGGCCAGAAGGCAGCACCTCCAAAAGCTCAGAAGGGTCCGAAAGCTCCAGCCCAGAAAGCACCTGCTCCAAAGGCATCTGGCAAGAAAGCCTAAGAACACAAGAGGCTATTTTAAAAGTAATAAAGGTCCTTTTTGACACGCTGGCAAATTACTTGATTGTGGATTAAAGTCTGTTGGCTAGACAAGGATTCTAAACTAGGTTGGTGGTAGGGTTGTTACGTAGCCTTCAGAAAATCAGTTCCTTCCTCTCTGCCCAGGTGCAGGTGGTATAAAGCCATCGCACCAACTGGTGGCCAGTTTCATGTTCTCGTGGGAAGTCATGAACACGGGAGCACCAGGTGATTTTTTTTTATGTAAATATGTTTCCCATAAATACATAGAATTCCAGCAGTTTCTGATGCTTGAGGGTTTATATTACAAAAATATACTAGGAGTAGGTAGAAACCAATTCTGGTTGCCTATCATTTCTAACTAAAGCTGGTTTCCTGAACCTGACTGGGGTAGCAGCCAGTCGTTTTGGGTTGGTGGTATTAAGAGGTAAGAGTGTAAGAGCTTCCGTGATCGAGGAGAAATACAGGCAATTTCGGGCTGCCTGTCCTGGGGCAAGGTGTTGTCTAGAGAAACTAGGATCTTAAGCCATGACCTGAATGTTTTTGTAAGGGGCAGGGTGACTGCAGAGATGACAGTGTAAGGAAGCTGAGTAGTTCTGTGGGGGGCTTTAGGGAGCCATGAAGCATGTTTTGTTTTGTTTTGTTTTTTAAGATTATTTTTAGAAGGGAAGGGAGGGAGAAAGAGGAAGAGAGACACCAATGTGTGGTTTGCCTCTCACATGCTCCACACTGGGGACCTGGCCTGCAACAGGCATGTTCTCCGACTGGGAATCAAACCAGTGACCCAGTGGTTTGCAGCCCAGCACTCAGTCCACTGAGCTACAGCGGCCTGGGCTGCATTTTTAAATGGTCTGGTTCCTCAGGTGTAGGTCGTTGTGCTGTTGGATTGAATCTTGGGGGAACGACACTGGCAACGGGAAGGTCAGGGCTATCCAGCTCAGCAGTGCTCCTCACCTTGACAGCGGTCTAAACCACCTGAGTGTGGGTGGTGGGCCATTCAGAAGAGGCCGAAACACCGGCTCTTGCTGGCTTTTTGGTTTCATTGCTGCTACCTCTGTTCCACCTCTTCTTACTCTTGGATTCATTGTTTGAGTTTTACTGCATCTTCTAGTAATCCTTAAGTTAGCCTTGGTGAATGACTGGCTTTGCTTGTTTGAAAGTGGTACGTTGCCCCTAAATGAACTGTTTTTACAGCATTGCTGGTGGTAAATGTATAGCCCCTCCCTGCACCAACATTTGACTATCAGGAGCGAGCATCAGGCCCCACCTCAGATGCCAGTCACAAGTCCCAGGCCGTCCATACTTCCGCTGACCGGCTGTAAATTGGGCTACCTCCCGAGGCTTGATAATTTATTAGAACGGCTCATCACAGAACTCAGGAAAACACTTGACTTTCAGTTTATTACGAAGCATAACTCAGGAACAGCCAGATGGAAGAGGTGTCCACGGGGCAAGGTGCCAGGGAAGGGGCAGGAAGTGTGTAGGCCCCCAGCTCGCCACCCTCGGTTCAACCTTGTGTTTGCCAACCTGCAAGGTCTACCTTTTAGGGTTTTTTCTTTTTAATATGTTCTATTGATTATGCTATTATAGTTGTACCATTTCCCCCCTTCATTCCCCGCCACCCTGCACACCCCTCCCCCACCATACCCCCCCTTTAGTTCATGTCCATGTGTCACAAGTTCTTTAGCTTCTGTATTTCCCATACTATTCTTGCCCTCCCCTCTATTTTCTTCCCACCATCTATGCTACTTACTCTCTGTACCTTCTCCCCACTTCTCCTCCTCCCACTTTCCTGTTGCTAACCCTCCATGTGATCTCCATTTCTATGTTTCCACTCCTGATCTAGCTGTCCTCTTAGTTTGCTTTTGTTTTAGGTGTAGTTGTTAATAACTGAGTTTGCTATCCATTTGCTGTTCATATTTTTAATTTTCTTTTTCTTAGATAAGTCCCTTTAACATTTCATATAATAAAGGCTTGGTGATGATGAACTCCTTGAATCTGATCTTATCTGAGAAGCACTTTATCTGCCTTTCCATTCTAAATGAAAGCTTTGCTGGGTAGAGCAATCTTGGTTGTAGATCTTTGGTTTTCATGACTTGGAATACTTCTTTCCAGCCCCTTCTTGCCTGTAAGGTCTCTTATGAGAAATCAGCTGACAATCTGATGGGAATTCCTTTGTAGGTGACTGTCCCATTATCTCTTGCTGCTTCTAGGATTCTCTCCTTCATTTTAATCTTGACTAATGTAATTATGATGTGCCTTGGTGTGTGCTTCCTTGGGACTAAGCTTTCTGGACTTCCTGGAAGTCTATTTCCTTTGCCAGATTGGGGGAAGTTCTCCTTTATTATTTGTTCAGATAAGTTTTCCACTTGTTGCTCTTCCTCTTCCCCTTTTTCTGGTACCCCTGTAATTTGGATGTTGGAACATTTAAAGATGTCCTGGGGGTTCCTGAGCCTCTCCTGTTTTTGACTTCTTGTTTCTTCATTCTCTTCTGTTTGGACTTTTTTTCTTCCTTCTGGTCCACTTGATTGATTTGAGTCCCAGTTTCCTTTCCATCACTGTTGGTTCCCTATGCATTTCCCATCATTTCAATTAGTTTAGCCTTCATTTTTTTCCTCTAATTTGTGACTAAACTCAACCAGTCCTGTGAGCATCCTGATCACCAGTGTTTTGAATTGTGTATCTGATAGGTTGGCTATCTCTTGGTCGCTTAGAAGTATTGGCTCTGAGGCTTTGAGTTGTCCTTCTTGAGCCATGTTTTGGTCTGTTCAGGCCTGTTCTGTATGAGGGGTGGAGCCTTAGGTGTTCACCAGGGCAGGGCAACCCAGTGGCTGGGTTGCGACACTGTATGTGGGGGTGGGGTCAGAGAGGGGCAGTGGCGTTTGTTCTGCGCTCTCTCGGATTTTGGTCCCCTCTGCTGCTTCCTGCAAGCAATCTGGGCCCCCCTGGTGCCATCTCCTGGGTGTGTGGGCTTGTTCACCCTCCAGGACCCTGTGGGTCTCTCCAACAAATTCTCTGTGAGCCTGGGAGCTTCTGGCACCTCCTCGACCCCAAGAGTTTTTCCAATTGGTGCTTTTAGGCTTTAATTCCCAGCGCTGGGGTCCTAGCCTGTGCGGTCTGTCTCACTGCTTGCTCCTTCGCTGGTTTATCTGTGTGTCAATGTGTGACCACGGTCAGCCAGCCGGCTTGCACCCTCACTGGGTCCCTCGTTGCCACCCCACACCTGGGATCTGCCAACTGCCACCTGTGCTCCTGGGTTGGTCTGGCCACTTTTTCCTGCTCGATCCCGCTCCTCTTACCGGTCTGGCTGAACTGTTTGTTGTTGTCGGACTTCTGTACAGTTCAATTTTCTGTGTTTTGGTTGCATTTTTGTTACTAAAACTGTTGTCTTTAAACTTGGTTGTGCAAGGAGGCACAATGTTTCCACCTATGCCTCCATCTTGGCTGGAAGTTCCTCTTACAGTTTTTGGGGGGCTCATGCAAACATGATGATGTTACTGGCAATTGGTGCTCAATCTCTAGCCCCTCAGCAGGGGTTTGGGGGAAAATTCAACCCACATGGCTCTGCTCTGTTGACCCCCAAGCTATCCGGAGGCACCAGTCATTAGCATATGAGAAGGTTCCAAGGGCTTTGGAAGCCCCTGGTATCAGGCACTGTGGACAGACACCAAGTAAACACCTTGTGTTGGATAGATTAGTTCTTTATAGAGTCCTGCTTTCAAAATGATTTTCCTTTTGAAGGACATCATCTAGTGCCCCCACTGTTACTCCGGACCAGATACTGTAGGAAAATGCAGTCAACCAAGTCCTCTGCAAACAGGATGAGATTTGTCCGGACTGTCAGTGAGGAGCTTGTGGGATGGACCCACAGAAATGATCAGGCAGGCTGACGCACAGTGCCTGGCCGGCAGGAAGCACTGTTGCTCTGGTTTTTGTTACATGGGCTGGAGGGAGATAACAGCGTGTCATGAAAACAGTGCTGCACTCGGGTGCACTCACGCACTGCGGAAGGATGCGCTGGGCAGCGACGGAATGCATGTACAACGGTCCTGTAAGACTAATGGTGCTGAAAAAGCCCTGTCCCCTGGTGACATCGTAGCTGTCCTACCATGGTGGCTCAACGCATTACATGTTCCTGGTGTTGCTGGGGCAAACATCTGGGCTGCCGGTCGTAGAAAGTGTAGCACAGAAAGCAGGTGCAGTGCACAGTACTTGGTAACAAGCAACTATGTTACTGTTCATGTATTCACTATCTGCCACTGTTTCACAGCATACTCTGTACTTATAAATTTTATTTTAAAAAGTTGGCTGTAAAACCGTATTTCCTGTCACGTGGGCAACAGCCTTATGCGTCCTGCGTGTGCCACCTGCCTTGCTGCATCATTTTCTCTTGTGCTTGATGTAACCTCATCTCTGTACATTCAGTGCAGCCTAAGTGTGAGGTGTTTGCACAGTGTGCAGCAGTGTGCAGCAGTGTGCAGTGACACCCCAGGCCTCCACACACCACCCGCAGACCCACACAGCAGTTTCCAGTCCTGTCAGCCCCGGTCACGGTCACAGTAAGTGCCCTGCACGGGCATATATTCTTCAGCCTTTACACTGTGTTTTTACTGTATCTTTTCTATGTTTGGATACGTTTACGTTCACAAACAGCATTGTTACAGTTGCCTACAGTATTCAGTGCAGTTACATGCTGTACACGTCTGTAACCTTGGAGCAGTAGGCTCTACCCTCGGTGGCCTCGGTGCATAGCAGGCATTTCAGACCCTTGAAACGTCATCTCCCGTGTATGCTTCCTCAGATGTGCGACACTAAAGGAGTGAACCAGGAAAATAAAAGAGGTGGACACCTATGACAGTCTGAATATTGTAAGTCTCCTACACTCAAAAACAGAGGAGCCGTGTCCATGCGGGGCCGTCTGCATCCAGGCCATTCCTAATAGGTCAGACTACCAGAGCCCCACCTCCAGGTAGTGACCCCCACACTTCTTACTCCACTGTAGCCTGCGCCTTTGCAAAGGTTGGGTTGCATGTGCCCTGAATCAGGTGCAAGGCGTGATTTGTCTTAAATGTATCCATCTCATTGCTGTTCCAAATGTTGCTACCTCCCAGCAGGCAACATTTCTTGCCACTTCATCTAGTAATTATTATTTTTTAGTCATGGAATTAGCTACCACTTTTGCAGACAGCTTGACTGCCCCCTGCAGGAAGAGAGTGAAGTTACAGAAATTCTATATTAATTTCCTTACTAGTAAAATAGGGATGCCAATCTATCTCATAGGTTTGTGTCGAGGATTAACTGCATTGATACATGTACAAGTGCTTAGAACAGTGACTGGAGCATAATAAACTAAATGCTATTTATTGTGACGTCATGGGTGAGTTTCGACATATGTATACACCAGTGAAACAATCACAAGTAACAAATAGTCCTACCCCTAAACTTTGCTTACGCCTCTTGCAATCCTTCCTCCTGGCTCCCCACAGGTGACCGCTGTTTGCTTTCCGTCACTTCACATTCCTTTTCTAGGATTTTATGTAAATGCCCCCACACTGCATGTACCTTTCTCCTTGGTCCGGCGTCTTTCACTCGGCATAATTACTTCGAGAGTCGCCCATGTACATGCTGAGTTGTATTGCACCATGGATGTATCACACTTGTCCATTCACCACTTGGTGGCCATGTGGGTTGTTTACAGCTTCTGGCTGTTACAGATAAAACTGCTATGAACACTCATGTACAAGTATTTGTAAGTGTGTGTGTGTCTGTCTGTCTGTCTATTTATCTTGGTTAATACCTGGAGTGGAATGGCCAGGTCATGAGACAGGTGTATATTTAGCTTTTTAAGAATCTTCAAAACTGTTCTGTGAAGAAGCTGTGCCATTTACACTCACACCAGCATTGTAGGAGTATTCCACTTCTCACACATCTTTGCCTACACTTGATAGTGTCATTCTTTTTCATTCTAATGAGTGTATAATGCTATCTTATTGAGGTTTTGATTTGTATTCCCCTAATGACTAATGATGTTGAGTATATTGTGACATGCTTAGTTGCCTTTCATTATGCCTTCTTTGCTAAAGTGTTCATAGATTCTGCCTATCTTTTAACTGGGTTTTCTTCTTATTGCTCTGTGAGAGATCTTTATATATGATAGGTTAAAGTCCTTTTTCATAGATAGGATTTTCAAATATTTTCTCCAAGCTTGTGACATGTCTTTTCATCCTCTTAACAGTAGCTTTTGAAGAGCAGATTTTAATATCAAGGTGTGCCTAGCACGATGGTTCCAGTTTATCAGTTTGATCTTTTATGGACTGTGCTTTTAGTATCATATTTAAGAAACCTTTGCCCTACCCAAGTTTATAAAGGCTTTGTCCTATTTTCCATTCCAGAATATTTTACAGTTTAAAATTTACACTTAGATCTATCTGTTTTGAGTTAAATTTTGTACAGGGTGAGCAGAATGGACCTACGTTATTTCTCCCCTCCCTCCTTCCTTACCTTCTTAAATGGCTGACCGGTTGCAGCACCATTGTCTGAAAACATGGTTCCTTCGCCACCGAGTTGCTTTGGCACCATTGTCACGAATCGGTTGTCTGTGTACATGTGGGCCTGCCCCCGATGCCATTCTGCTGCATTGATCTGTGTGTCTGTGTGGATGCTGTTAACACGCTGCCTTTACTGCTGTAGTTCTTCTAAGTGTCGAAGTCATGTAGTGTCAGTCATTCTTTTTTTGTTTGTTTTTTTGTCAAAGTTGTTTTGGCTATTCTGAGTCCTTTGCATTTCCATATGAATTTTAGAATCAATTTGTCAGTTTCTACAAAACACATCCTGGGGTTTTAATTGAAATTGTATTGAATCTATAGATCAGTTTTGGAATAGTAGACATTGTAACTATGCAGTCTTTTTACTCACGAACATTGTGAATGAATTCATTTATTTAGACCTTAATTTCTTTTAGCAACATTTTAGAATTTTTACTCATTAGGTCATTTACATCTTTCCTCAGATTGTGTACTTCTTTCCAATTTTGGTGCATTTTCTCTTTCTTGACTTATTGCACTGGCTAGTGGCTGGGGACAATGTTTTTATGGAGAGCCAATCTCTCTGCCATTGGCCAGGTGAAGGACATCCAGTTCCAGACATTAAGTTTCTGATACGTGAGGAGAATCCTTGACAGGTGCAGAGACTACAGTTTCCCATCTCTCCTGATTCACCTTGCCATGTAGCTGCCTCTGGGTCAGTGCTACCTATATTCTGTACCTCTGGTGAGGTTATTCTGGGAAAAAAAAAACAGGTTCCTTGTAACATTCTTCCAATGTTCTTTTCTGACTGCCCATGATTCCAGTCCCCCTCCCAATTTGGGGTTTTTTAGGCCAATCAAAGCTTTCGGATATCTCCCTGCACTATAATAACAAATATAGGAGTTGCCTGTCCAATTTTGTTCACCTCCAAGTTAGTCCTAACGGTAACAACTGGCTGCAACTCTTCAGGGTTTGTGGCATATATGTGTGTACACGTGCACCCATACGCGTGTGCCCATCTCTCTAGACTCACAGTAGACGTTTATTTTTGGTAGGTTTAGAGAAAGGCAGTTTGAAAATGTAAGTCCTTACCATGCTCTTGTCTCTGGAAACCTAATTCTATTTCAAATGATCGTTTTGCACAAGCTCTACAATACCCCAGGTTTTAGGAAATGGACTTTCTGCGGTGGGTCATATCTGTGTGTTAAGCAGCAGCCTCCACTCTGGTCCCCGCTGATTCTTATCCGACACTGAACGTGACTGGCCTTTGATGAGTGTGTATTGGGGTGATTATGGTGCACGACTTCTGAACATAAATGACACTGCAGCGTGCCAGGCCTCTCAGACTGCTTCCCTTGGGTGGAAGCCTATTGCCATGTTGCGAGGACACTCAGCAATGTCATCACATACCCATGTGGGAAGAGGCCAAAGTCTCACCAATAACCAGTACCAAACTGCCAGCCATGGTGACAATGAATTACCTTGGAGGCAGATCCTTGGGCCTCAGGCAAGCTTTCAGAAGAGTGCAGTCCCAGGCAATGCCTAATGAAGGTTCATGAGCGATCCCAAGCCAGTGCCACCCAGCTCCTGAGTTCCTGATTCTCCAAGAAACTTGGAGAGATAATAAATGTGTTTTGTTTTCAGCCACAAAGTTTTGGATTGATTTGTTATGCAGCTATAGAGACCTAATGGACTCTTCATGACAGGAAGAGCCCATATGGATATGGACTCTTGATGCTATAGTTGGTCAGTGACTATGTCTAATTCCTGTCAAAGGAGCACCAAACTCCTTGATAGAACCAGACATCCAGGGTCATACTGTCTTCTAGCAGGGGGAGACCAATTTCCTGGTGTAGCTCTAAAGTGGTTGGAGAGTAGGAGCCCTGTAACTGTTCAGTGGACATTTCAGATGGTCAGAGTCTATTCATGTTGGCGACCACACGGGCCAGAAACGGTCAATGGAGTAAGGCTACTGTTAACACACGGTCATTATCCGAAGCGTGGTTGCTATAGTGAGGCACTAGCTAATTGGCTGTTGGCTAGTGGGTGGGGCTATCACTGAATGGCTGACTTTCAAGGGCGTTTGTCACTGATTGGCTCACACAGAAACTAGAGGTTGTGATTGACTTGCTAACTTGCAGAAGCATAGTTACCAGGGGTCACCGAAGCGAGGTTGTCACTGGTTTTCAGAGCACGCTTTCTGACCCGAAGTTATGTAAATTAATGGAAGTTAATTGTTTGTGGCTTGGGACTTGGATTAAAAAGTCTTTCCCTTTCTTGAAAATAAAAAAAGGTGCTTTTGATATTTTCTCTTTTTTCCCTTCTGTCAGCTAAATCTCCAGGAGACACTGTAAGAGATTACCCAGATCTTTATTTGTGCAAGCATGATTTTTTTTTCAGCCAGTGTTGATATTTAAGTTATTCTAGCGCCAATGACCATCCCCCACCCCCCAAAGCTGTAAATTACAGATTTTCCCCGGAATTTATTGGAAAAAGCCAAAAACAGGACATTTAGGGCATCCTGCCAGAGTCAAAACCGGACTAAACCATTTCACGTAGGGCATGTCCTGTATATACAGGATGCCTGGCAACCTTAGTCTCCATTATTTCGCTTGTTAAATGGACCTGTCGCAAAAGGTCCGCCACACGTACAGGTCTTAAGAAAGAGGAAGCTTTATAAAGGCAGGTGGGAACCATGGTCTTCCTAAGGGCTGCCCGGCCTAGGACCCAAGCAGGATCCTTGGCGTGGGCATCTAAGAGATGACACAAAAGGAGCCAGACCTGCACAGCCCAGGTGATCGTCGTAGTAATGGCGGCCGACCGCCGATGGGGCAGTCTATTACCTGTGGCCCCACCTGTGCCTAGATGTCGAGGTCTGAGTGGAGCGAGGTTGCATCAGTGTCCTGATACTCCAGTCCCGAGCTGGTGCCAACCGCGGCATCTGGCAGAGGTACCCTTCGAACCCCGTGACCCCTCAGCCAAGAACCCGCCCACAACCCCACCCCTTCCGCTGGGCGGGGCCCAGTCACGTGGGGTCGGCCGTGGCGACCACCGAGGTGGGCGGCCTCCGAGCGGCCTAGAGGGGCACCGGGCGCGCGCGCACTTCCGCGTCCGCTTTTAGTTAACAGCATTTCGGGGGTCGGAGTGGAGGAGTGTGGGTTCCGTCGGGTTCTACGTGCCGGGTCCGCTCGGTGCCGGCATCTTCGCCTTCCCTGGCGCGTCGTCAGCACCCGAGCCCCTACACTCCGTCCCAGTGGTGGCTGGTCCCTCCCTGACCTGGGGCTCGGGCGTGCGGGCCTCGCGGAAGCCGCCCGCGGTGGCTGCTCAGACTTCCAGACCCCTGGTCCAGACCCCAGCCCACGGAAGCGGGATCCTCTTTCCCACCGTAAAGAATTGGCGCAACAGCCTCTTGCACACGGTGCTGACGTTTCTGCGCTTGGGTTCCTCTCTTTCCCTGGGTGGAGATCCAGGAGTGGTCTCGGTCGGCATCACCCATCGGAACACTATTTTACTCCCAATCCGCAGCCAGCAACCCATGTCCCTCCTCTCCACAGGCATCTTTCTCGGGGGCGTTAATGTCATGGTCCCTGTAAGAGCTTTTTAAGGTTTGTTTGGACCCAACACTAGGGGCAGGGATGTCTCAGTCCGTCTGGTATGAAGATGGGGGGCTTCCCCTGAGGCCCAGGCGGAGCAGTGCTCCAGGAGGTTGGGGCGCTGAGCCTGAGGGGACCTGCCTGATTGAGTCTCCCACTAGGGCCGGCAGTGAGACTGGGAAGGTCCTAGGCGACTGGGGGTGGTGCAGGACTGAGCTCCTTGCACTCACGTCTCTTCCTCTCTTAGCTTCTAAGGTTCTTGCTTTTCCAAACGCAGAAGACAGTGTACGAAGCCAGGGGACATCAGCCATGCTCCAAACAACTTGGCCTCAGGTGAGGTGAGCTTCCTTTCCGACTTTAAAAAAATCACATTGGCTATCGGTTGATCGGGAAAGGACCAAGGTCTGACGTGGCCAGGCTCAGGTTTTCTCTTTGAGTCCGTCCCCAGAGCTATGGCTGTAAATACGTGGTGGAGGAAATAAGAGTTTTGTGTATAGAGATGCATTTGGATGTGTAGGTTTAAATGCAGAAGGGGGACCCAAGCCAAGAAATTCTCCCTTACCGTGGAAATCTAGATAATGTGCTACAAAGAATAGTCACCTGCTAAATCAGAGAAATTCTTCATGGGAGAGATTGCCCCACAAATTGGAGATGTATCCCACCGAGACAGGCACAGTTCTTTCCATATACACTTTCTAAACGCTAGGTGCATGGTATTGAATAATGCAAATTCCCTTTCCTAGTTAGCAAAATCGTCTGTAAACAAATAAGCAAGTTAATACCATAATTGCATGTTGCTAAGGTACAGAGCTTCTCAGGAGCGTGAGCCACTGGGCAGCGCCTGGGAGCTCATTAGAATTGCACATTTTGGGGCCCCACCCTAGACTTGGTCAGCCTGAGGAGGAGGCCACCCAGGGTAGGGAAGCTGTTGTAAAAGCTTCCCAGGTGATTCTTGTAAACCTCCAATTTGAGAAACTTCAGTGAAGCCGCCTCTGAAGGGAAGGATCAGGGGAGGCCTCGAAGAGGCAGTAACATGAGGTTGAGACCTCGTGTGGAGGATGAGATAGGAAAACGGTCTTGGGAACTACAGAAAAGAGAACTTTCCAGAGAGACAGACAGCAGATGGAAAGCCCCTGAAGTGGGGGGAGATCAGGGTGTTCATTAGGATCAGGGAGAGGTCAGAGAGTCATTCAGTGTGAGGTGGGAGAAGGTCACCGTGAAGACTCTGGTTTCTGCTCTGGGTCCATTTGGAAGGCACTGGAGTATTTTAAGCAGGGGAGGTGACATGATTAGATTCATCTGTTAAAAAGGTTTTCCATTCCTTCATGGTGAGCTGTTTGTGCAAGGGTGTTAGTTAGGTGCATACTGCAGACCAGGTAGGAGATTAATGTCTCTTTTTTTTAAAAGTAGACTACACTTTTTTAGAGAAGTTTTAGGTTCATAGCAATGTTGAGCAGAAAAAGCAGTTTCCATGTGTTTCCTGGCTCCACCTCTGCATGATAATCACCCCCCCCCACCAGAGTGGTACCTTAGTTACGACCAAAGAACCTGCACTGGCATGTCAGCCTCATCCCGAGTCCACAGCTGTACATCCTGTGGGTTTCAGACGTAGGGTGACATGTCTCCACCGTTACAGCATCAAACAGGGCAGTACTGTCGTATCACACAGATATTGTCACAGCCCTGAAATCCCCCTGGGCTGTGCCTATGCATCCCTCCCTCCCTCCCTGGCAGCCATGGGTCTTTTTCACCATATACTGGTACACAGTTTTGCCCTTTTCTGAATGCCATGTACTTGGAATTATATAGTATAGCCTTTTCAGATGGGTTTCTTTCCTGTAGTCATATTCATTTAAGGTTCCTCCATGTAACTTTTTGTGGCTTGATAGCTTGCTTATTTATTTATTTATTATTTTTTAATCCTCACCCAGGGATATGTTTATTAATTTTAGAAAGAGAGAGAGAGACATCAATTTCCTGCCATAAGGGGTGATGTTCCAATCACCTGAGCCAACCAGCAGGGCGATAGCTTATTTTTTTGGTGCCGAGTAATGTTCCATTGTCTGGATGGGCCACAGTTTGTTTATCCATTTACCTGCTAGGGACGTTGCAGCTGCTTCCAGGTGCCGGCAGTGATGAACACAGCTGCTGTGAACTTGTGTCTGCAGGTCTTCGTGTGGACATAAGTTTTCAGCTTGTTTGGGACGATCACCAAGGAGCAGGACTGCTGGGTGACATGGTAAGAGCATGGTTAGTTTTGGGAGAAACTGCCAAATCACCTTCCAGAACAGCTGCACTGGTTCGTGTTCCCACCTGCGCCGAGTGGGAGTCCCTGTCACCCCACGGGCTCACCAGCATCAGGTGTCTGGTGTTCTGGGTCGGGCCGTTCTGATAGGTGTGTAAGTGGTATCTCATTGTTTTAATCTGCATTTCCCAGGTGACATATGATATTCAGTCTTTTCACACACCTGTTTGCCATCTGTATGGCTTCTTCAGTGAGGTATCTGTTCAGGTATTTTGCCCATTTTTTAATTGGGTTGTTCACTTTCTTATTGTTGAGTTTTAAGAGTACTTTGTATGCTTTAGATAACAGTCCTTTTTCAAACCTTTTTTCCCCAACTATTTTGATTCTGTCTGTGGCTTGTCTCCTCATTTCTCAAAGTATTGTCCTTATTAAGGTGTGGTTTAATCTCCCCTTGTCATTTCTTTCAAAATTTTTTTCCTTTCAAGTATTCTCAGCTAATCTCTCACACTTACTTTTTCAGGTGGCTTTTTTTAAATCCTCATCCAAGGATGTTGATTTGAGAGACAGAGGAAGGAGGGTGGGGGGAGGGAGAGAGATCGAAACATGAAGGTGAGAGAGAAACATCGATTGATTGCCTTCCGCATGTGCTCCAACTGGGGTTCAAACCTGTGACCTTTTGATTGATCTACAGGAAGACGCTCCAACCACTGAGCAACCTGGCCAGGGTTCAGATGGCTTTAAATCAGGGTGTCCAACCTGTGGCCTGCAGGCCACATGTGGCTCAGGATGGCTATGAATGTAGCCCAACACAAAATCATAAATTTACTTAAAACATTATGAGATATTTTTGTGATTACACACAGCAATGTATTTAATGTGTGGCCCAAGACAACTCTTCTTCTTCCAGGGTGGCCCAGAGACACCAAAGGGTAGAACCCCTGCTTTAAATGGTCCCCAACCCCTGCATGAATCTCATGGATTCTTTGGGCGGAGGAGTGGATTTTATTGAATTCATAGGCAAAATAGGAGAGAAATTAACTTTACAAACTTGATTCTTCCCATTCAGAAACACTGTATGTCCCACTGTATTTCATTCTTTTATTTACTTTAATAAACATTCAGTTTTCTTCATTCTGGTCTTAAAAAACATTTTTGTTAGGTATATTCTTAACTATTTTTATATTAGTGGCATCTTACTTTCTCCCAATTTATCTTCTAATTATTTGTGATGGTATTTAGGAAAGCTAATGATTTTGGTTTATTTATCCTGTGTCTAGCTGACAACACATTATTTTGTCAGTTTTAAATTTCTCATTCATCCTCTTGGCTCTGGATATTTTTAGGCAGATGCAGTGGGCTCTGTGTTTGTGGGTTTTTCATCTGCATATTCAGTCAACCCTGGATCAGAAACATCTGGAAGAAAAGCTACGTCATTGCTGATGTGTGCTATGCCCCTAGGCCTGCGCTGGCTGCACCGTATGGAGCATGTGCAGACTTTTCTTATTATCATTATTCCCTAACAAAACTGAAGAGCCACCCCTTCCGTCGCATTAGGTTGTGTTAGGTATATAACTGGTCTGGGGATGGCTCAGTATATCGGAGGGTATGGATAGGTTACGTGCAAATACTCTGCTTCTTTATATAAGGGACTTGAGCATCCTCAGATTTTGGTGTCCGTGGGGGTCCTGGAACCAATCCCCTGCGGATACCAAGGGACGACTGTAATCCTTTCATCTACAAAGCAAAGGTGTTTGTGCTTATTCCTTTCCCATATGGTGCTTTCCAGCTTTTCATGGAAAGTGGGACTCAGCTCTTGGTGAGCCCTCTGCCACCAACTATAATGGGTGTGCTCTGGCATTTTCTGTTAAGGAGGGGTTTGCTGTTGTTTCCTGATCCCCTTCATAAATTTACAAAGTCTTATTTGTGGTCAGACCATTTTTGAAGTTAATTCTTTCAGCATATTTATATTAAGCATCAAGCATCTGCCAGGGAATATACTGTGTGCTAGTAAGCCAGTTAGGAACAAAACAGAATTCTTGCCTCCGGGGCTTCTGTTCTGGTGGAGGGAGACAGGCAATAGCAAGTCCCCTTCACTCTCGGGAAGATGAAGATGACCCAGGGGAGGCGGGGGGTGGGCTGGGCACACACTTTGACAGGTGGGACGGGGCTGTGCCCAGAGATGGGCACTGCTGACCTTGTTGGAAGTCAGGTGGTTCACCGAAGAGGCTGGAACAGGCAGGCTGCAGGTTTTCTTCAATTAGAGATAGCTTTCTGATATAGCAAGAAGGTATAAAAAGAAATTTGCAGAATGCTGGGGACATTTTGGAGGGGTGTTCCTCTGCACACAGTGGAGAGTGTTGGCGAGGACCGAGGAGAGGCCAGGAGCAGGGAACAGGTGGGGCTGCGTGCGTAGGTTAGGTGGGCGGGCACAGGATGAGTGGCAGTCGCCTGCCTCGGCTGGTGGATAGAGAACAAGGTGACCAGATTATGGAGTGCCTGAGATAGGAGGTGCCAGAGGGATGTGGGCTGATGCAGTCACCAGGCAGAGAGCCCCGGATGCCAGGCTGTGGGGTGAGGATGACAGCCGAGGCCCCAGAGCTGAGCAGATGGGAGAGTGTAGGGGCTCCGTGTTTGGAGATGGGACACTGGCCGAGGGCAGGCCGCTGGCTGGTTGCTGGGCACTAGGTGCCCTTCTTGGTGGAGCAGGCCTTCCCCAGGGCCCTGGGTTGGGTACCCTTCGGTTTAGGCTGCCTCCCTTTGCCCTGCACTCAGAGCATGAGCAGAGACTTGTTGTTTCAGGAGCCAGTGACCTTTGAGGATGTGGCTGTGCACTTCACACAGAATCAGTGGGTCAGCCTGGACTCTGCGCAGAGGGCCCTGTACCGGGAGGTGATGCTGGAGACGTACGCAAATGTGGTTGCCCTGGGTAAGGCCTCTCTGTGTCTCCTGGTGATAGTTTGACATCTTCCTCAGATGTTTTGGGGAGTCTAGTAGCCCTTGGATTTGGTGACCGCAGGGGCAGTTCTGCAGTCACCAGCCTTTGGAGATGCTGGCTGGGCAAGTTCCTGGTGCCCTTTGGTTTTGAAATGGGACTTCCTTCCATCCCAGAGAAGAGCGAGCTTTCAGGTCCTGAGGGGAAGGACATCCTGGTGCCCTGGGGGCGGTCCTTCTTTCCTGCACCCTGCCATTGGCCTAAGGTTGTGGGCTGCCCCTCTGAGGCTGCGTCTCCCAGGGCGACAGGACAAGTAGCCTTTCCCAGGGGATTTCCTGTCTAGCGGGTCAGGGCAGGGGTAAAATTTCTTCCTGGGGAGAAGGGCTGTCCCCCTGTCATGCCCTCAGGGCAGTTTGGAGCCTTTCCTCAGAACCCCTGGCTGGCTCACTTGGTCTCCTGGGGACTCCATTTCTGTCCCCTCCCCAACTAGTCCATTACAGGCTGGGACAACAGAACCAGCTCTGGACACCTGCCTCAACTCGCCTGTCTTTTTTTTTCTTGCTAAAGTTGCATTTCCGGTCCCCAAACCTGCTCTGATCTCCCAGCTGGAGAGAGGGGAAGCACCCTGGGGCCCGGACCCCTGGGCAGCAGAGGTGTGGAGTTGCATCCGTCCAGGTGAGTAAGAGAGAGCAGCAGCTTCTGGGTCTGCCTTCCCAGTGCACTGGAAATGTTTCGTCTGCAGCAGAAAACACAGCTCCCCGCGGCCTGTATGGCGGCAGCACTCAGGGCACTCGGACCTCTACTGACTTCTAGCCCCGAGCCAGGAAAGACCAGTCCCGGGGATGGTTGGCCACCTGCTTTCTGCGCACGTACATGGCTGTCCTCCCACAGAAAACGGTGACCATGCAGCTCCTAAACCACTTCATTTCTCACCAGTGGAAATATTTAATTTTATGCCAATTTTTATGGCAGAGTAGGGCTTCGGTCATATTTTAGGGAAAATTTGATTCTGTGGGTCAAACTGATTTATTTTGAGCCTCTGCTATGGGGTTCAGTTTCATTTCCTTTCTGTGCATTTTGAAGTTCCCTACACTGTAGTTTGTAGGTTAACACTGTATTTGTCTCATATGGGGCTTCATAGGAGGAGGCAAGGACAGGCCACGCCCCCAGCCCCCTGGCAACACCGGGCAAGTGCCCACAGCCTCACAGCCCGCAGCTTCCCCGAGAGCCGGCCGGTCCTGGCAGCTGTGGGTCACTTGGTTTGCTTTCCTGTTGGAAGGAAGTTCCAGGCCTCACTTCTCACTTACCATGACTTCGTAAATAATGGTTTGTTCAGCAGTCATCCCACTGTGGCCTGGAGCTCCGGTTCAGCTTCAGTCCCAGTTGACTGTCTGCAAGCACTTTTTATCCCAGAGTACCATGTGGGGCCTTCCTAAAGGGAACTCTGAGGCCGTTCGGTGGAATTTGGTGGAATTTAGAATTGGGGCTGGTTTCCTGGCCTGAGGGGGCGGGGCCCTGTGATCCACCGTTTGCCTGCTCGTGTTCCCAGCCTGCCCTGCCTCTTGTCGTGCTGGATCTGACGTCTGTGTTGTCTCCCTGGTCTTTTTCCTCTTCTGGGTCTCTCTCTCTTTAAAAAAGTTTCCATGTCTGCTGATCCCTCTTATCTGCCCTTTTCTTCTCTCTCTTTACCCCGCCCCTCCTGTCTTCCTCTCCTCCCATTCTTGAAATTCTTGTTCTGCCCGTCTCACCCGCCTTAGTCTTTTCCCCTGGTCTCCCTTGCAGGAGGCCCTTCCCCTCTGTTTCCAGAGTCGTTGCTTCTCCAGTTGCATGTTACTGTTTTTCTGTCTCCTTGATGGATGCTTATAGGCATTTCATGGATTTATTATGACTTTGAAAGTATGTTTTATTTATTTATTTATTTTATTGATTATGCCATTACAGTTGTTCTATTCCCCCCTTCATTCCCCTCCACCCTACCCTCCCGTCCCCACCATTACCCCCCCTTTAGTTTATGACCATGTGTCTCAAGTTCTTTAGATTCTATATTTCCCATACTATTCTTGCCCCCCCCATCTATCTTCTATCTACTGTCTATGCTACTTATTTTCTGTACCTTCTCCCCCCTTCTCCTCCTCCTACTCCCCTGTTGCTAACCCTCCCTGAGATCTTCATTTCTATGTTTCCACTCCTGATCTAGCTGTCCTTTTAGTTTGCTTTTGTTTTAGATGTGGTTGTTAATAACTGTGAGTTTGCTGTCCTTTCACTGTTCATCTTTTTTATCTTCATTTTCTTCGCTAAGTCCCTTGAACATTTCATATAATAAGGGCTTGGTGATGATGAACTCCTTGAATTTGATCTGATCTGAGAAGCACTTTATCTGTCCTTCCATTGTAAATGAAAGTTTTGCTGGATAGAGCAATCTTGGTTGTAAGTCTTTGGATTTCATGACTTGGAATACCTCTTTCCAGCCCCTTCTTGCCTGTAAAGTCTCTTTTGAGAAATCTGCTGACAGTCTGATGGGAACTCCTTTGTAGGTGACTATCCCCTTAGCTCTTGCTGCTTCTAGGATTCTCTCCTTCATTTTCATCTTGGCTAATGTAATGATGATGTGCCTTGGTGTGTTCCTTCTTGGGTCCAACTTCTTTGGGACTCTCTGAGCTTCCTGGATTTCCTGGGAGTCTATTTTCTTTGCCAGATTCGAGAATTTCTCCTTTCTTATTTGTTCAAATAAGTTTTCCACTCGTGGCTGTTCCTCTTCCCCTTCCGGTACCCCTATAATTCAGATGTTGGAACGTTTAAAGATGTCCTGAAGGTTCCTAAGCCTCTCCTCATTTTTTTGAATTCTTGTTTCTTCATATTTTTCTGTTTGGTCATTTTTTTCCTCCTTTTGGTTCACTCCTTTGATTTGAGTCCCAGTTTCCTTTCCATTACTATTGGTTTCCTGTGCATTTCCCTTCATTTCAGTTAGTTTAGCCTTCATATGTTCCTCTAATTTGTGGCTAAAATCAACCAGTTCTGTGAGCATCCTGATCACCAGTGTTTTAAGCTATGCGTCTGAGAGTTTTGCTATTTCTTCATGGCTTAGATTTATAGGCTCTGGGGCTTTGAGATCTTCTTGAGCCATTTTTGGTCTGTTCTTGCCCATTAAGTATGAGGAGCAGAGCCTTGGACTCCCAGATCACTGGGTTGTGACGCTATATGTGGGGGCGTGGTCAGAGCAGGGAAATGGCGGCCCCCTCTGCTGTTTCGCGCTGCTGGGTGAGGAGCAGAGTCTTAGGTGGTTCACCAGGGCAGGGCCACTCAGGTCGCTGGGTTATGACGCTGTATGTGGAGGCGGGGTCAGAGTGGGGAAATGGCAACGCCCTCTGCTGCTGCTCGCCGCTGGGGCCTGCTGGGTCCCATCTAATCACCCACTCCCTCGCTTGTCTATCTGCGCACGAATGCGACCACAGTCAACCCGCAGCCCTGCTCCCTTGCTGTTTCCCTGCGGTCACTCGCTTGGTCGCTCACTAGGCCCAACCCTGCACCTGGATTCCATGCGCCTGAGTCTGTCTGACCGAGTTTTTCTGTGCGACCGAGTTTTTCTGTGCAACCCTGCTCCGCCAGCTGCTGGTTTCACCCCTCTTACCAGTCAGGCTGAAGAATTTGTTGTTATCAGACTTGCGAAAAGTTCAATTTTCTGTGTTCTGGCTGTTTTCTGTTGCTAATATTTAGTTGTCTCTAAACTTGGTTGTGTGAGAAAGCACGGTGTCTCCACCTATGCCTCCATCTTGGCGGAAGTCTGAAAGTGTGTTTACTAAAGCTGGGGACAGTGAAACAAGGAAGGGGTCAGGATAGAAGAAGCAACAAAGGGCCTTGGAGACAGGTTCAGGGGGTGAGCCTGGGACGAGCTGCTGCTGCCCACTGCTCCCCTGCTTGAACATCTTGTGGGGTCCCTTAGCATTCAGGAGATGTGTGCCAGAGAGAGGAGGAGAGGGGGAAGGGAAAGGTGTGGGCGTGCTTTCGGGATGAGGAGTGTCCTCTAGGGTATATTAAAAAAAAAATCACATCCTACAAAAGAGAATTAGGGCCTCTGGGTCCTGTTTCCTGTGCAACTCAGTAACTCAGGCACTTGCTATTTCTCCCATCAGGCGGTGAGTCCCGGATCGAGGATGACGAGCCAACAGTAAAGCAGGAACCCTCTGGAGAGACAGAGCAGGCCAGGCAGCCGGGAGGCGGACTTCCTAGAAATATTTCCGAGCCCCTTGATTTTCAAAGCAAAGCCCCATGGCAGACTTTCGGTCTGAACCCAAATCCGATCCTTCGAGGGGGCATGAAGTTCTACCAGTGCAGCGTGTGTGGGAAACTCTTCAGGTACAATTCGAAGCTCATTCGGCATCAGATGAGTCACACGGGGGAGAAGCCCTTCAAGTGCAGGGAGTGCGGCAAAGCCTTCAAGTCCAGCTACGACTGCACTGTGCACGAGAAGAATCACGCCGGGGCGGGGCCCTATGAATGCAAGCAGTGCGGCAAAGGTCTGAGTTCCAACACGGCCTTGACTCAGCACCAGCGGATCCACACCGGGGAGAAGCCCTACGAGTGCAGGGAGTGCGGCAAGGCCTTCCGGAGGAGCGCGGCCTACCTGCAGCACCAGAGGCTGCACACTGGGGAGAAGCTCTACAAATGCAAGGAGTGTTGGAAAGCCTTCGGCTGCAGGTCGCTCTTCCTTGTGCACCAGAGGATCCACACCGGGGAGAAGCCCTACCAGTGTAAGGAGTGTGGCAAGGCCTTCACGCAGAAGGTGGCCTCCATCCAGCATCAGAGAGTTCACACCGGGGAGAAGCCCTACGGATGCAAGGTGTGTGGGAAAGCCTTCAAGTGGTACGGCAGTTTCGTCCAGCATCAGAAATCACACCCCGAGGGGAAAAAGCCGGTCCCGGCGAGTCCCCAGTGCCCTGCTTCAGCCCCGTCACCGGGTCCCCTCCAGAGCCTCTGCCCAGCTCCCGCCATGGCAGTGCCTTCACTGACCTTTCCTCGGGCTGTGCTGCTGCCTCCGTCTGGGCCTCTGTTCCTGCTGCTGCCCACGTCTGCGATGCCTTCGCCACCTGTGCAGATAGTACGCGTCTTCCAGAGCCCCCCTCCCCCCAGCAAGCCTTTCCCGGTTACCCTCATCCCCTCTCAGCCCCCGTGAGCGGGAGCTTCACCTTGCCACACCTGCGGCTCTCACGCCCAGCACCTCTCCAACCTAATTTGAGTTTCTATTGTAATTTTCTCCCTCACTTTACATGTGTTTCAACTGCTTCAGCATACACTTCATTGTAATCTATATATTCAAAGACCGTGTTCAAACGTTTTCTTCGGGAAATGGAAGTACTTGACCTTGGCATTGGCCCCTCTCAGGCTTGAACAGTGATAGCTGTATCTGCACTGTGTGGGGCTGTATCTGCATTTAGAAGGGATGTTAGAGAAGTTTGGGAGAGAACACACAGGCCATGAGAACAGCCCGAGAAAAGGAGTAGAGGGTTAGGATAAATTTGCAACAGCAGACTTTAGAAATTCATGCAGGTTGTTTAGTGGCCTGAGATGGTGTATGGACGCCATTGAAGTTCACTGCCCTCGCCCCAGACCCCTGAGGCCCTCACAGGTCTATGCAGCAGCTTGGGTGCAGTAACCAGTGGGGGAGAATATGTACGGGTGCCAGCAATCATCCTACGGTTGGCAGTGATCATCTCTTGAATTGTGCAGGTTTGTTCCTTAGTCTTGCTCTTTGTGTTGAGATTTACTTTTTAACTTTAGTTTTCTAAGTAAATACACACCAAGGCATTCACTTTTGTTCCATTCATTGTGTGAGTTTTTCTTGATGGGCATTTTCTGTTGGCAGTCACTGCTTCTGAGTTTTATTTTCTCTACATAGTGTGAATTATAAATGTGACTCAGGCAAGTTGCTGGAGAAAGAGGAACAACAGTGTGGAGCCGCCCTGGGGGAAATCTGAGTAAGTCTCAAAAATTGTTTCTGGGGAATAAAGGGAGCTGTGAATGGGTCTGCGGCTATGCTTAAGTGGAAGGTCAGTGAACCGGGATTTTAGGTTGCTCCTGCTTATGACCTTGATGAGGGTCTTTTACAACTCTGCAAAAGACTGTGTGAAGTAATTCCTGGAAAAAGAACTCAAGTTCATTTTTAGCATTAATGTAAAGTAAATCCTTAACCCCTGATAGGAAGGGCCATCTTTTTTTTTTTTTTTAAGTTTTTTGATATTTAAATGTTTCTCCAAAGCAATGAACAGAAAGACCTTTAAATTAGAAGTTCTTCAGCTTCACATGTGCCTGGATAACCTGGTGCACTGCATAACCTGGCGTCAAAAGAATAATTTTCTGGCTGAACCCTGCAGTTCCGATTTGGGATTCCTGCAGTTGCTCCAACCTCCACCGTGGAGCTTGCTCTTAGAGCGGTGCTTTCTGCAGAAAGTGTCGACGGGCTGTTTGGAGGTGCACACTGACGGGGGACTTGGACGGCCTTCTGGTCGCGTAGGTCTTCCGGAGAGGGACTTCTAAAAGTAGTTCGAGCAACACCATTTTAGGGGGAGAGAGAAAAGCAAGTGGAATGTGGCCCGTGGGGAATAAAGGAAGCAGCGGTGGGGCCTGCAGGGCCTGCGGAGAGGTCTGTGGTCTCCACTGCCCGGCGGGTGCTGTCCCCAGTGGCTGCCTGCTCTTCATTGGCCTGTCGGCTGAAGTAATGAAATACTGTTTTCTTATATAAAGTTCATACACTTCAAACTGGCTCTTGGGTTAAAGAGCAAAGGACAAACGTGACAGGTGGTTTAGAGCCGTGACGGCGGGACAGGGCAGCCTTGGACGTGTCCTTTAGGAAGCTGGCGTGAAGGCTTGCGATTCAGAGCTGGGTGGTGGGGAACACACAAACCAAAGCAAGCAAGCAGACCAAAACATTCCAAATGAACTTAGCAGGAACTGAGACACACAAGAGTTCTTGATAAAGACGGTGGTTGGATGTGTTAGCATTCACACCCTCCTGAAGCCTCAGCGAATCGGACGAGGTTAAAAGTCGAAAGGCGTAAACTCACAAGGACAACAACAGCAGGGATGATGACCTTTTGGAAGGTCAACAGCGGGTGAAAGCGTGTGACTCTGCCCCTGAGGGAGATGAATCCTATGCCACGTTGGGGGAAGGTGAGCAGCCCTCCAATGGGGCTGAGTTCCTGAGGCTTAGGAACTGAGGGTTCCGGGATCTCTGGAAGTCGGGGATGCTGGTGGGGCTGAGAACAGGAGAACCAGCTAGAAGCCTTTAAGACGCAGCTGCTCGGGTCACCTCCCATCCCCCTATTTTCTGGAGTGGTAAAACCAGAGTTTGGGAGACCGGCTACCACGCCGAATAGAGCTCCTCCTCCCTCACCCTCTAGCCGTCCTGGGTAGGGGAGAGCAATGTCAAGATTGCAGTGCATGCTAATGGATTTATCAACTAAATGCAGTCAGAATTCTTAAGGGGTTTGTGTGTGTGTGACTTGAGAGGCTGATTCTCAAATTTATGTAGCAGAGCAAAGAATAAAGGATGGTTACCGCACTTCTGAAGAACGAAGTGGGTTTGTGCTACCAGATGCTAAACTGATCATCAAAAACAACAAAACAGAGCAAAACCAAAACGACATGTTATAAAAAAACATAGTACACTATGATTGGATTTTGATAAATTAAAAACTATAAATACACTGGGAATATGCAGATTGTATACAAATGCAAAATTACAGAGAAGTGAAGTGTAGAGAAGGCAAGCTTCAGCGGCACATGCGGAGAAGATAGGTCGCTGTCCTCTTATCCCTTTCATTCCCTTGCTGCTACTTTCATTCCATCCCAAGTGCCAGCGGTCCCGCACACTGTCCACCGGTCGTCCAGCACCCGCTGCCTCTGCCACCTGTTGTCTGGAAACAAACAGTAGGTACTTTGTTTCCAAATTATGCTGAATTGGTGATTCTCAAAGTGCTTTACAACTGGTTCCTTATCATCCCTGTAAGTAAATCAGTGGTAATATTTAATAACTGTCCAGAAAGAAACTATGTAACTTGCCTTAATCTAAAAATTACACCGGTTTAAACACAGATGGTGGACTATATTGCTTAAAGAAAACATGTTGAAAGTTGTGTCAGATGAAGTCCAGTTGTCAGGCTGGCTCCTATCTTTTCTGTAAATGAACCAATAATCAGAGTTGTCATTCGTTTCAGTGGCTCTGCTCACTAGTTACAATGGGTTTGTGGTATTACAGGAAACTTTAATTGGCCAGAAGTTTCCGTTTACTCCACTTTGCCACCTCTCCAGGAACACCTTCAATCTTAACAATGATAGAAATAGATACTTACCCGGTACTGTTTACCACTTGACATTTAAGCACAACGCATGGCAAGTTAGATTTTCTATCACAGGTTTTGTATAACGAGAAACCCCAGAGACTAAACAGCCTTGGCATTTTGATGCCCCCTTTCGGCTCTGATGTTAACGCTAAGAAAAACCCTCTCTAACGGAGCAGGAGTTTCCATCGTATCATGTAATTACTTACACGCGGCAGGCATTTTCTTTCTTGCTGCTGTTTTGTAGGCAGTCTTAGTGTTGAGTTGTGATTTGGTCTTCAGGGACTGGGGGCAAATTGCTTGATTCTGGAAGGAGTGGTGTCCGTGAGACTGTAAAGGTGTAAATGGCGAGTCTCAGACGTGCGGGCCGGGCAGCAGGCGTCTGAAGCCACGGGCACACCTGCTCCCGAAAGGAGGTTCTCTGAGCAGCTGCTGTCCCTGGGAAGGGCCGTTTTCTCGTACTTCCCAGATGTCTCGTTTCTGGTCAGCAAGGTGCCTAACCATTTTATAAACCACTGAGGTTTCAACATCATTCGAATACATTGTCTACTTTAATGTCTTGGCTGTAGTGGCTTTTACATTTAAAAGTTGTTTTTCTAGTTATAAAAGAAATACAGGCTTAGAGCAAAATTTTACCTAGAAGAGAATCTAGGCCTAAATTTGATCACTTTCACTTAATTTTTTTGTAAAAGATTATCTTTAAAGAGAAGGGAAGGGAGGGAAAAAGAGGGAGAGAAACATCGATGTGAGAGGAAAACATTGACCAGTTGTTTGTTGTATGCGGAGCCTTGACTGCAGACCGAACCCTCCACCCAGGCATGTGCCCTGACTGGGAATCGAACCTGCGACTTTTCACTTTGTAGGGTAACACCCAATCAACTGAGCCACACCAATTGGGGCTGGGCCTGAGTTTGACCACTTCTAATACTTTGGTGTACACACCAGCATGTGCATAATTATGCACACGCTTGCACACACATAATGTGCACATTCTATCATGACTCCCTTTCAACCAGCAGGTGGTCATGCGTATGTCCTAGTCAAGAAGTAAATGTATAATATTTTTAGTACCTACATAGTATTACACTGCATAGTCTTTTGTTGGACATTTAACATATTTCCATTTTGAATCTGTTAAATACCTTTATGAACACCTAGTACAGACATGATTGATATGGTTTACTATTTCTTGGTTTATTTCTACAGATACTTAAAAAATTAAGAAATGGTATATTTCTGATAGCATAGGAGTCTCTTGTTCTTCCTCCCCGCATTTCCCTTTTCTATTACCCTTTCAAGGTTAGCCCATAAATAGTAACTGGAAACAGTTAAGCTATGTGAACTCATGAATAGCGATTCTCTGTTAGTCTCTGGGAGTTATTACTCTCATTCAGCAACTTGTCTATTTTCTCTTAACATTGTGCTTGAGAGAGATTACTAGTGGGTGTGTGGTTTGGCAAAATGAGGGAGTAAACCAAAAAAGAGAAAGAGCTAGAGATCAGGAATTGGAGGGCCCAGTAATCGCAGAATAGTGAGGGGATGAGAAGACATTTGCAAACCAGCCCTAAGCAGCAGCCGGAGTAGTCAGATGGAAAAGCGTGGGAGTTAGGCCTTCTGGGAAAAAAGGACACAATATTCTAATTCCAGGCACATCCTTATACACAGAGCATCAAGGATAACAAAGAGGTTCTCAGAGATTCTGGGGGTGGGCAAGGATGGGAAGCGGGCCATGCACCGAGGGACCGGAGTCAGTCTGACGGCAGACTTCTTGACAGCACCAGGGGTTGCTCCGAGGTGGTGGGACAATGCCTTCAAAGCTCTGCAGAAAGTTATTTTCGACCTGGAATTCCATTCCTAGCCCAACACCCCATCAAAAGGACAGTGAGGTGAGTAAATGCCACATGCAAGTTGGTCAGTTAATCAGGAGTGCCGGAGTTGGAAAGATCCCTACTTACAACCACTGGACTATTGGTTCAGGTGCAAGTCATCAGTGGGTGGGTGCTCAGTGTAGGGGGGAATTTGGCGAGGACCGGAGTATTGTCCAGTCTTAAAACATCTATCTGTGGGCGGCTGATTAGTGGCCAGAAAAAACACACGGCGTACTCACTGTTCAACAGCTTGCCTGGGTGACCAAAACTGACAGAACAGTGAGGAAGAGATGGAAACTGGGTCCTCCACAGTCACAACCCAAGAAAGACACGTCACTGCTGAGTGTTCTAGCGGGAGAGGAATATCCTGAATCCAACCGCGAGGAAGCACCACATACCGGATGGAGTCCATTCTGTTCAAGGAGGAGTTCTGCTCTTACAAAAGAGACATAGCAAGTGGGCTTTTGGCATCGTCACGTCTGGGTGTGATAGTTGGAGCTCCTGCAGCCATTGTGTGAGCTGGACAAGGTGACAGAAGGCAGAGCCCTGAGAGTCCCAGAAAGGGAGCCCCAGGCACATCACGTGTTATATTTTCTTTTTGGAATATCGTTGAAGATAAA